TTTTGTTCACAGGCGGACGCCAGCACGGCGTTCCTGCGCGCGGCGCGAGCTGGCCAGATCGACAAGATCATTAGCTTGCTCGAGCAGGGCGTCGACATCAACGTCAGCAATGCTGTGAGTATCTAACATCTCCTCTTTTTAAATTTTTATTGAATTGATATTCAATATTTCTTTATGTGAAATTACCCCATTAGTTTGTTATAATTATTATACAAAGATCGAACACTCAGAAAAGATTCCTTCGATCCGGCCGGATTCGAACCGACATTTTCTAGCATACCGTGCCAGACTAAGCTTAGCTGGTATAGCGTCTGACACGGCACAATGAATAGCGACATCCCTAGCCAGCGCTGGTAGCTGTAAAGGTATCTAACTGGGTGATGAAATACTTAAGATTTCTCATAGACGGCGTTACGGCTAAAAAGTCGTTGAAAAAACCAAATACAAAAACACGACAACAAACAAATAGAAAAACTCGTGAGGTCCGCTGGTTCGTTCCGTTACTTAGTTGGTATAGCGTCTGCACCGTATTCTAGAAGATGTCGCTTCGAATCCGGCCGGATCGAAATAATTTTTCTGAGTGTTTAGATCTTTATTTTAATAACTATCTCCTCTTTTCTGTCTTCCTCCCCTCTTTTCTTTACCCCTTCCTTTTTTCTCTTTCTCTTCTCCTATACCCTTTTCCTATCTTTCATTATTACGTTGATCAAATAAGAATTAAGCGGCAACATTACATAACAATTAAGTAAAAACCTTTTATAAGTAAGTACCTATGAAATAAATAAGTTATGCAAGTGAGTTTTTAGCTTTTTAAATATATTATTATAATAATACATAGATACAATCTTTATTCACCTCTCACGTTTGAGCTCACGACTTGTGAACTAAAACCCTTACTATAACTATAAAATTTAAATACCACTTAATAATAACAATATAAATACAAGATTAGGTAGAAATAATTTGTTTAAATTAGGTCGCTTTGGGAGTCATAGCAGTGTAAACGCGCTGGGCAAAGGGTCAGGGCCCTGTTAAAGGAGACGACAACACTTAACTGTTGTTTGCAACGGTGGCAACCGCTAGTTGTGGTATGCGCAAAGTGAGCGTGCCAACAGCTCCGGTACCTGTCTGGAAAATAGGGAGGGTACTGTACGTGCACCTGAGGCACTAGCCTCTCGAAGAACCGAATGAAGTCAAGTAACAGAGGGCTTGGACAAGCCTGTACACTGGCTAATCTGGGGTCAGAATCTGAACTCTTAAGGGTCCTGTGCGTGCACAGGTTATAGCCTTTCTCGTATATCCTAAGGGTCGGTAGGGAGGGTCTCTATAATCAAAATTCATGTAGAAAGATATGGGGCTGTTTATTTTCATTACATTCGTCTTCAACGAAATAATTACACAAAACCCAACTACGAAACAATAAAAATACAAAAGTAATTTGCAAAAATAAATTGACAATATCCAACGTATGATAAATGCTTATAACTTTTGACATAAAAGCGAATTTTACATGCAGCTTTGTTTTAATAAACTTGTTTTCAACCCCTAAAGCCTTACAAAGAAAAAACACCTTTTACGTTACGTTATAAAGAGTATTTTTAATTGAACTTCAACCGTCCAGCAAATTTTGAACCCCGCGAAATTCTTCAACTAATACAGTTTTTATAACGATTGTAGCAAAGGTTATTTTCGCACAATAGTAAAGCTTAGGGTAAAACGGATGTGTGTTGGACACACGCGAACTTAAGTCACGAAATACAGTTATAGGTTAATGTTTGAGGTTTTTAGGTTTAGTATTATACCATGGAGATATGATAGGTCATAAATTTTATAGAGACATTATTCTACGAGATAACCGTAACGTACTTCCCGGACACTGTACTAATGGTAGCTTTCTGTCTGTTGTGACCACACCGGCAATTACCACCAGTGTCTGGTGTAACACTGCATTCTTGTGCTCCGAATTTAAGGGCCTTTCCGATATTAAGGATATTTCTTTAGTATCGTAAGTATTTGAGATAGCCCATACTGGTACATGTCTTCATTTCTATGTCTGCGATCAACGTTATTCAGATGTTCATTTCCGAAGGCTTTACAAATGTTACAGACAGCAGACGAAGTTTCTGTTATATATGAAGCAATCTTTTCATTGATCATCGTCATTAGCAGTTGATGCTTCACATTGACATTCTGCAGTTTCGATGGTTGAAGAGCTTCTATTTGAACTTCTATAGATGGTTTTACAAGTTGCACTGTTTCTTGATTTTCGTTTGTGAATTTGAAGTCAGTAGGGAGACAGTAATGTGTTGATGATGGCCGGTCATACATAGACGGTAAATTTGCATTGTTTCATAGTCGCTACCTTAGTTGTTTTAGTATTTTAATAACACCTTATTTTCGGCCTTACGATGCCATGTCTGAAATTTCGAATATCGGTATTTTATTATACAATGCTGACGTCACTGGCTAGACGCAAGTAGGGCAACTCCCGCCGGTTCGGCGCGGAAATGCCTACACCTCTCACGGAGCGTAGGATTGTTATTATATTTTATTTATACCTACAGGATGTAAACATAATTTGAAAAAAATAAGGCGTTCATCACAGTACTCTCGTGCTATATCGAAATAACCTTTGTTAAATGCAGTAGATACGCAGGATCGTGGATTGGCATCTTGGTTATGGAGTAGATTATAAATAGAAATTACTTAAATGTAAAAATATACATCATTTCATTAAGAAAGAAGATATCCATAATAGTAACCTTAGATCCAAGTCCAAACTCATGGTACCACGATTCGTTCAGTAAAGGTGATTCTGTTATGGAGAACTGTGTACGTTTTTACAATAATATTCCGAAGCATATATTAAAATTGTCATTTCCTAAATATTATATATTAAGTAGTATATATATATATATATATTCAATATTTTACTTGAAAAGTCATATTACAAAATTGAAGACTACGTGTTAGATAAAGATGTATGGAAAGACGACATTCCACACAAATTTGATTCAAAGTGTATTTGTTTGTGTATTGTTTTGATTCCATAGCATTTAAGTTTATTTGATAACAACAATCCCTAGCGTTTCTTGCTCGTTCTTTTCCGGGAAATCAGCATAATGAACGAGCAGAAGGTTAAAAAATTACGTTTTCAAGTGTAATTTATTTTACCTATAGGATAATGTTTCTTTGACTTTGAAAATGCTGAACAATTCTGAATTTGAGGCACTTTCGTTCAAACAACAATAAAAGCGTGAATGGCATTGAAAAACATTTTTAAATACCGAACGAACGCTTCAATTTTATATGAATGGCACTTGAGACAGCACGCACCGCGAGATTATGCGAATGTGTGCGTTCGGAATTAGCGCGTGGCGGACGTGCACACAAACAAGCCACGCTGCTACGTTTGTATGGAGTTACCTTACTTAGTCTTATTCAACTATGGTTTTACGAAGTATTGTAGAGGTGTGGTGCGGTAAAAAGGGGCCGCATGCTCAAGGTTATTGGCTCGAGAAAGCGCTTTAACAGTGTCCATTAAAAACGGAAATCTTGAAAATCGAATCTTGCAATTGATACTTTAAGTGGTCAGTTATAAAACAGGAAAATGTTTGTCATTGTCAGTTATGACAATTTTCAAGGGAAGTTATTTATATAGTACAATTATTTTATTTTCAATTCCATGTTCTTTGTAGATTTTAAGACTCGTAATTTTTCACTACATTATTATCAGTTACACGAGGTTACAGACTTCGTAACCACGTTACGACTTTTCCTTATTATCATTATGATCATTATTATTGTTATAAATAATAATTATTATAACGACTACGATTGAGTTTGTTCGCGAAAATGCCCAGTGAAAGTGCCCTTGAAGATGTCGGATTTTACAAATGGAATAAAACAAATCTAACACTCATTTATTTCAGTCAAATAGAGTCCATAAATTTATAAAATTTGCACAATTATACAGTCATGGAGTCCCATCAGGATCTACCAAAATGAAAGAACCAAAAGAAAAATACAATCCTCAAATTAGGCGCGAATGCAGTCTCAGTCATGCAATGAAGTATGATTGGGCAGTCAACCCTACCAGCCACAACGCGAAGAATGTCATTTGAGTTGCCACGGGTACGGCTTAGCAAGGACGTAGTTCTCTTTCTAAGAATAGCATGAAAACCATCCGTGTGAGCTTCAGTGAAGGCATGTTCACTGAAGCTCACACAGATGCGCTACAATACAGTGGCAACCCCAGCAACACTCTAAACGCGTCATTGCACTGAATGTGCAGGGCGTTAATTATTCTTCTGCAAGCCCTCGACCCACAGATTACATGTATAAAAGGTTTGGCAGAATGCTTTGAAAAGTATCACTTTAGCAGGTAATCCCCGTGCACATCTGCCTGCCAACATATTGCTTCTAACAACCAACGCCCGGCGCTCTCTCTCAACGTTCTCATTATCCCTGAGGTTCTCGTGATAATTTTTACATTACGCTTAACCACATCCAAGTCATGTAAAACATACCAAACACGTGTAAGCATAGGAAGTTTAATTCTCGAATAATATAATAATTCACACCCCAACTAATATAACCCACATTCGGGTTACAGACTTTTATAGCATATCTTTATTGCTGACAGCTATATATAAGAGCGTTTATTACTAATCGATTTTGAGAAGTTTATAAGAACACGCTGAGTTTAATCAAGATGCGTAATCGATCACAATGTGATAAATTCATTATTTAAAATGATTGCTGTAGTCATTGTTTGATAAGCTAAGAACATGTACAATGAAACAAGTTATTTGATCACCTGCAACATCTTGTCAGTCATTCTCGGTTTAGAGTTCACTGAGTAATTTTTCTGTGGCAATTGACATAAAATATTTAATATCCTGAAATATTAAATAATAATACTCGGGACGGCCGAGAAGGCGTCGGCGGGACGATCTTGATGGGTTTGAGAAGGACTGGTGGGAACACGCCAAAGACGGAGAGCAGTGGAGGATTTTAGGGGAGACTTTTGCCTAGCAGTGGGAAACATTAGGTTAAAAAAAAGACCTATTGTATTAAATAATATTTCACAATTCTATATTGGAACACTTAAATAATAAAATTGCCATGGAAGTTAAGCAGAGGGCACTAACCCGAAAATGTTTCTTGTGTATTTAAATCATGGCACGGTGACTTCAGCTGGTGCAGCGGCTGAGTCCGCTACTCGCAAGAAACGACACGGATATCGAGATTTGGAAAACCGCTACATTTTCGATCTGCTTGCTATTGAGACGGCGCGGCGGCGGATTGTTGGGGTAGCGATGTGAAAAACTTTGTAAGAATGACTCCTGCGCCGGGTTATTCTTGGCATAAAGATTGTCCATTGCCATACAGCGAGGAAATGCGGCAAGCGTGTTGGGCACCTTTGTGCCAGGGTCAGTCAGTAGTAGTAGTGGTAGATAGCACTAAACCATGTAATTTGTAATTTTTTGATTGTTATTTATGACTATACTATGTATTTTGAAAGTTTAGTTTTTAATATTTCTAAATATTTGTAAAAGAAATTAAAAAAAAAAACATTTAAAATAAAGAGAAAAAAAATCTAGTAAAGTACGTATACCGTATACCCGTGCACATGGTCTTTACCATGTGACGGCGGAATGTTCACGGGTTGAAGCAATAAATTTGTTTCCTGTAGTTTGTGCTATCTTTATGATACACATGTTCCTTATTACACCAAGGGTACGATATTACAAGATCCTAGCAAAATCCGAACTCAACTACTACTTACTCTTTTTATATTCTTAGAGGTAAAAAAATCCTTTTTGAATTTTGTGTATTATATATTGCGGACATTTGCTAAGCTTTTGTTACGACAATCAGCCGTGACCATGGGACCAGCGAAGGGTCCGAAACGTTGTATGTTGGAAAATAAAATGTACACAATGAAGTGTCGAAAAATTTGTTTCATTTCCGAAAATGTATTTTCGAGTTTATCAAAATCATCTACCAATAATAAACATTTTAACCAAGCACCATCTTCCTCAGAACGGCCTCAACGCAATCCACTTGGCGTCGAAAGATGGCCACGTGGAAGTCGTCCGCGAGCTTCTTGACCGTGGTGCCTCCATCGACGCGGCAACGAAGAAAGGCAACACCGCGTTACACATCGCCTCACTCGCGGGGCAGGAGGCCGTTGTTAGACTTCTTGTGCAGAATGGGGCTCAGGTAAGAATCAAATATCCAATCTTCTCAATCGATAGGCTCAAATTCATGTGGTGGCATGTATTTAGCCGGTTTAAGGTGTGACGTTCAAGTAAGCCAACTGCCACCATCTATAAACCACCTACTCGTCGAGATCAGTTCACTGATCCCAAATACGACTATTCTGCTGTAAATAGTTGAGAACTTGAATAGTCTATAGTCTGTCCTGGTAGCAGCATCAAATCAAGTTTACTATATTATTGTAATGTCATCGGATTTCCATGGTATATCAAATTTCAATTCGATTTCATTTTATGACAGATCCTTACACTAACAGGAAAAATATGTTCATCAAATATAGCCTAAGGCTGCTAACAGATTAACTGCATGTTTGCAGTTAATGTGTGAAGCCGTTATCAGCTTCATGCAGCCGAGATCACGACTGCATGAAGTTGACTGCATTAATTGCATGCTACCAATCTCGGTTGCATGAAGTGGGTTTCGACTATTAATTCGTGAAGTCGTTACCAACTTCATGCGTCGAGGTCTCGGATAACGATTTCACGTTTTAATTGCATACAATTTAAACCGACTTCGTACATCCGAGATAGAGTGCATGCAGTTAATGCGTGAAGTCATTCGGTCGAGGTCTGGGCTGCATGAAGGTGATTACGACTTTACTGCAAACTTGCAGTCAATCTTTTAGCGCTCTAAAAACAATCCCGATTAGTATTCAAGTAAAAAAAAAACTACTTTGATCAGATACAGAGTGACAAAGGCTTCAAAATTATAACTCCCCTTTTTGTGTCGAGGGTTAAAAAATAATTTGATACGCAAATAACTGCAGAGATCAAAATGTAATTCCATCAACATTTGCGCACCTGTTTTTGTTGATTATACAATGTACCCTATTTTAGGTAAGATCTATAATATTCTTACTGTATTCTGTCAAATAAACATCCTCTATTCTATGACGAGTTTATACTCCTTTTATAACCACGTAGTACTTTCCAAACTATAAAACATTATTTAATAGTGAATAATGAGTTAGGCGAAAGATAAACCAATTGTTTTCGCTGATAAACCGGAAACGCATTAACGAAACCAAAACTTCTCATCTTTCAAATCATTTATCAACATTTATAAACTGTGCTCACAAACTGTCGAAGCTGAGTGGATATCATTTACGAGTACAAAGTAAACAATGACAAGCTTTAAACTAGTAGAAGTCGTGTCAAATTAGACGAGGTTGGATAATTTTCTATTCGAAAGAATGATTCTCCCGACTCTCAATGTTGCCGCCGTTAGCTGAAACTTGTGACAAAAACTCAAAACCGAGAAAATAAAGTTTAAAGAAATAAAAAAATATATCTACTTTTTTCTTGCGGTAACTTCATACCTTATATACAAAGGAAAAAATAAGAACTGACAGATCGGCCTTTTGTTACTGATCACAGCAGTATACCAATTTTTATAAAAAAATGTCACATGCATCCTCTCAACTACCAGCGGCAAAAAGGCGACGAACATCGATAAAAAAAATCCGTCGATCTGACTTGGACTCGAACCAGTGCCATGTTTAGGCAACCGAAACTGGTTCGATAAGATCGAATGAAATTTTAGTCGTTTTTGTTAGATTTTTGCATCAATAATACGCGATTCTTGATCCGGAAAAAATTGTTTTACTTCCAAGAGAAAAGAGTGCATAATATTCGTATGTTACTTGTTCCAGGTGAACATCCAATCCCAGAATGGATTTACCCCACTGTATATGGCTGCTCAGGAAAATCATGACGGCGTTGTCAAGTTCCTTCTTGCTAATGGGGGCAATCAGAGTCTTGCTACGGAGGTGAGATAATTAGGCGAAATTTTTTTTAATCACTCATGCACGTTTTTGATGTGAGGACGTATTTTGAGAATCTCATGTCACGTTCGGGTAACAAATGTAGAAGTACTCAATAAACTGAAGAAAAAGTAGAGCTTCTGAACACCATTAAATGCAGGAAGATGTTGTACTTCGGCCACGTCATGAGGAACAATAAGTACAAATTACTCCAGCTTATCTTCCAAGGCAAAATCGTTAGAAAACGAAGTGACGGTAGAAAGCGGCACTCCTTGTTAAAGAATTTGGGAAATGGCTCGACTACCGTACCACATCGTTTTTTAGGACGGCAGCCCCTAAACTCATGATTGCCATGATGTTGTCCAACCACCAATAGAAAGAAATTGGAGAAAGAAGTTGGAGGTTAGGCGTGCAAGTTACATGCATTTATAAATTATCTACCTTAACTCATCTAGTTACGGTTGACAATTTCATCAAGAGTCACACCATGAAGCATCGTACCTAATAGACACGAAATGTTTTCCCTTTGGAAACCATGCTTATTATTTGGCGGAAGTAGCTTCCACGCCTCCGGTCAATATGGGCTTGTCGTGGATATGGACTAGTCGAACTGAAATCTCCTTATGGAGATCCGTCTGTGACCGTCAGGGGCCCAAGGTTTTCCCCGTAAAATGCAAAAAGCAGTAGCATTTGCTGAGGTTTGCATATTTGAACCTCTGGCGGTTCTCGGCTACTCTGCTGATTATAATCAAAAATATACAGCTAGTATCTTTAGAACAGGAGTGGAGACAAAAGTATTCACAAATCTTAATAGTTCCACTCATGTTATGTAGCAGAGACTGAGTACTATCAAAATCCTTCTGGACCCACTAGTGGAACAAATAGTGAAACCAACAGTCCGGAAGGAAAAAAGATTGATCTAAACTGGGCCCCTTTCTATATGTAAGGGTGTCGAAAACAACCCGCTTGTTGTCTGCAGCAGATTTCACAAAAATTTTCCATGTGAAGTCCTCATTGTAAAGAAGTTTTTTTACTTGTTCCAACTTAGAGCTTCTGCAATATTCCGTTTTAAATAACTGTGAAAAACAATGTTGAAGTCAAGCTCAAAAATAAACGTCTACGCTGGCCTCCGAGGAACGAGTCTACGAAGAACTATCATTAATTCTCTGTCATTGAACAGGACGGGTTTACCCCCTTGGCTGTGGCGATGCAGCAAGGTCACGAACGAGTGGTAGCAGTCTTATTGGAGGCCGATACACGCGGCAGAGTCCGTCTGCCTGCGCTGCACATCGCGGCCAAGAAAGACGATGTTAAGGCCGCTAATTTGCTGCTTGAGGTCTGTATTTTGCAGTAACAACTGTTTCATCAAACACGTATCAATTACTTGGTCTTATATTAAGGATTTCTTTTTATTTTACTATCAATACAGGACACATTTTAAGGATATCAACCAAAAGACTTAGATTAAATTAGTTCAATCAGATGTACACTAGAACTTTTGCATGGTTACAGGGAATCAACCACTTGGATTTGGTTAGGGCCTTAGATGGATAGAAGAAGCCTAGGGTCACATCTTGTAGCATTCTATTTATTCATGTGGTTTCAGAACGAGCACAACCCGGATGTAACATCAAAATCCGGATTCACCCCCCTCCACATCGCAGCTCACTATGGCAATGAGTCTGTGGCGCGATTGCTTCTGGCCAAAGGAGCTGACGTCAACTGCGCTGCAAAGCACAACATCTGTCCATTGCACGTGGCTGCTAAGTGGGGTGAGAAATTTTTGTTTCCAAATTCAAATTCATTACCTCTTTGTGATAAATTGGTTGTTTAAAGTGGTATTACAAGAATGCATTCAAGTTATGTGCTTGCGTAAACGCTGATGTAGCGCGACAGCCGAAGGTCTGTAACGCTAAATAATTGTGACTGTAAACGTAGTGTGCGTGCGCTTGTAGTAGAGCCACTGCAGCGTTTATGTTAGCGTCTAATTTGAAGATGCTCTTAGAGCCTTTGCACCATGTATGGCGGGTGCCATGGACACATAAACAACCACAAATTACTCCCAAACTCTCGAGAGAAATACATGTAGGCTATACAAATATTTCCCCTTCAGCCACGGAGGCAATTTATGACTTTCATGTGATAAAACCACTTTTGACGTATGTAATATCTTTTTTAATAATAATATCTTTTTATTGAGTCAATACAATTACATGGTATCTTAAAAATTACATGACATTATTTAAGGAACATTTTAAGTATGGTTGATCTATAGCGCCCGTACTAGTTTTTAATAAAACTGTATGACAGACGCTACGTCTTCCTCCAGATTTCTTACAGACATTATAATGCCAAAGACATTTAACACGACAAGAGAGTGCAGGTAATGTATGACAAATAAATTATAATAAACTATGTGTGGTGTGAAGGAACGTGAGTGTCTGTGTATGAGTGTGTGTGTGTGTGTGTGTGTGTGCGTGTGTGTGTGTGTAAGTGTGTGTGTTAGTGTGTGTGCGTGTTTGTGTACGTGTGTATTCAGTCCATAAAAATCAGTTTATGTATATATATGAACTATGTATATAAAAGCTTTACCATGGTTTAGTAATTAAGTCCTCCGTTGCAGCAAAACTTAGTTTCTGTAACCAGTCCTTCAATGTAGGTTTAAGCTTTCTTAATGGTAAGGTGTAGATATCCAGAATTTTGTTTATTTTATTATATACAGAGGAACTGCGAACATAGTACTGTCTAGCCGCAAGAGAAGTTTTATGAGGGATGGGTTGACATACTCTATATTTCATGCGTTTGTTTATTATATTGACATCTAAAGGGAGAGAAGAGTGTTTACGTAGTATCAATTGAAGGACATAAAGTTGTCTTACTGTGAGAACTTCACAGTCCATGTACAGCTTAGTAGTTGGATATAGGAACGATTTTTTGGTTATTAATTTAAGGACAGTTCTCTGCGCTCTTTCCAGCTTTAGAAAGTGGGAAGCACAAGCACCACCCCAGGCCGGAATACAATATGTCAAAATAGACTGCGCTAGGGCAAAGTATACCATCTTTAATGTGTTCCAATCGGCAGAAACTCTTAATTTTCTAAAAACAGGCATGAGTTTACGAACACGAGATGTCATAGTATCAAGATGTGTCGACCAGCTTAAGGTGCTATCGAGGTGAACGCCGAGATATTTAATAGTTTCTGTACGAGTCAAATTCAGGCAGGCACAGGAGTCTTCAAAGATATCGCAGTTATGCATTTTAATATTGAAGGTATCTATTTTAGGTTGAGTAATTTTAGATGCAGAAAAGGTAATATATTTAGTTTTATTGACATTTAAAGTAAGCAAGTTTTCACTAAGCCAGTTAGCAGTTTTACGCAGTGCATTCTCAGTATGCTCACGGGCATGTTCCCACGTGACCCCATGAGTCAACAGGACTGTGTCATCAGCGTAGGTAATTATGTTACAGTTTGGGATTTTCATTTGACAGAGATTATTTATATATATCAAGAACAGGGTAGGCCCAAGCACACTTCCTTGAGGAACGCCGTAACTTACATATTCATCGTCACTAACAAAAGCATCCACCTTTACACACTGTCTACGTCCCATGAGGTAATCGTGAAAAATATTTAGAGCCACTCCCCTTATACCGATAGCCTCCATTTTGTGTGTCAGTATGGGTACAGAAACGGTATCAAATGCTTTCGATAGATCAAGGAATGTTCCAATGACTTTATATTTTTTATCTATATTTTTAACAATGAAATCGGTGAGTTTAATAACCCCATCTTCAGTTGACAAACCTTTCCTGAACCCATACTGATTTTCAGACAGAATATTATATCTATCTAGGAAGCCGGTCAATCTCACATTTAAAATCTTTTCTAAAATTTTCGACAAGGAAGTGAGGACAGAAATGGGTCTGTAATTATTAAGATCCCGCTTATCTCCACCTTTATGTATAGGATGTACCAATGCTCTTTTAAAAACGTTTGGGAAGACCCCTGACCGAAGACAAAGATTACATACATGTGTAATAACAGGAGTAAGAGGGCCTCGAGCGGATTTGAGAACAGTAGATGAAATTCCGTCATATCCCACGGCGCTGTCAGCACGAAGACCAGCGATCACATTGTCTACTTCACTTTCAGTTGTCTCCAGGAGTGCCATGGAGTTACCTAGCAAATTCATATTATCAGGTAGAGACGGTTTGTTGAAACTAATTGTCGAAAACTGTTGAGCCTGACGGACTCCGGATGCAAGGTGGTAGCCAATGTTACCAAAATATTTATTTACCATATTTAAGGATGTTTTAGGTGCACTTGTTAGATTTAACAGCTCTTTAGACGGAAGGGATTTAGTGCGTAGGTTACTTATATTTTTAATGACATTCCAAGTGGCTTTCGGATTGTGCTTAGCTTTTTGTAGTTCATTTTGCTCATAAATACGTTTTAATTTTTTTAAAAGCTTATTACAAAAATTACGATACCTAAGGAATGTAATTTTGATTATTACATTATTTTTATTATTTTTTACCATTTTATGCAAACGGTCTCGATTTCGGATACACCTTAGGAGTCCCGGGGTGATCCAGGGTTTTATAATCCGTTTCCTGCATGAGACCCTGACAACACTGGTATTATGTACTATACACATCGATATATTTGACACTAACATTTCGGCAGCAATGTTTGCATTTTTACAACTGAGAATGGGTGAGAAATCAGTTTGCGCTATTTCATTTACTACGTTTTGGTAGTTAATACGTGAATGTATGCTAGAGTGAGAAATATTCTTATTTTGATCAATGCATGTGAGAATCGGAGCGTGATCTGTGAAACCAGAGTCAAAAACTAAAGTAACAGCTTTTCTGTTAGACCGAAGCATGATATGATCTAGACAACTTTTATCATGAGTAATAAACGAGTGCGCAGGTAACAGACCATGAGATGCGAGGAGATTCAAATAGGACTCCGATTTAGGATCGTTTGTATCACATAAAATATTGATATTAATGTCGCCAATAACCGCAATTGTTTCGTAAGCTGCAAGAGAAGTAATCAAATTATTTAAAGAGATCAAGAAATTGTCAATATTTTTGTTTGCAGGCGAACGATATACAGCCACAAATGCAATGGTATTTTTATAAGTGAACGTAAGACCGCTAGCATCACACAGGCTTGACACTAATACGTCACAAGTAATCTGCGTTTTGACAAATATGATTACACCATCATTTTGATTTTGTGTAGTAGAACGATGGGAGTTGAAGCCAATGAGGTCCGGAATATTAACCACTTTGCTGAGCCAACACTCGGTTAAAATAATTATATCCGGATTTAAGTCCAGTCTGTTTAAGAATAATGTAAGTTCATCAAAATTTCGGTTTATGCTTCTAATATTCACATGAAAAATTTTTAGACTATTTCGGGTAGGATCAATGTACGATAAACACTCATCTGGCGAACAATAGAAAGAATCGTAATGTTGTAAATCATCTACGTCATTATTTAATTGGTCGATATTCATAATAAATTTGATGAATTATATTTGAAGCAATTTAGGGGATCATTTGAACAGTTAAATTGTATATCTTTAGGTGTGGTTGTTTTTATTTTACATTTTATAATTTGAGCATATGTTATTTTATATGATGGACTGCAAGTATGGAAATGTGTTTCATGTAGTGGGCAATTATTTGTGTTTAAGATGTGTGGTTTGGAGCTTGGGTGTGTAAGACTGTAAAGTGTGTGTGGATGGTTGTGTAACTTCAAGTTTTTTAGTGTATAGTGTATTTGACAGTATGTTATGTGCAATTTGATAAAATATTTAAAAATAGCTAAGAAAGAAATGATTAAGAATCCAAGAAGGCCAAAAAAACTAAAAAACAGTAAATAGCACAAAATAATTAAAAAAATTAAAAGGAATGCGAAAAGGAAAGGTCTCTTATTGTCCTGGTTAACGAAAACTAGTCACTTCTTCTTCTCCAGTTTTGCTAGATCCGTTTCGGAGTCTACACGAGCAGTGTTTTCACCCTCTTTTTTTCTCAAATATATCCTTCCACGGGAGGTCCAGCAGAAAGAGTAGCCATTTGTGTTTGCAAAACTTCTCGCGAGAAAGAATAATCTTCTCATTTTTGGTGTTAAATTCTCAGAAATAAAAATAGGCTGAGAAGCCCCCTGGATATGTATATGTTCTGTACTGAATTTATTATCTCTGTGAGCATTGTTAAAGTTCTTTATGCTCGTTAACACCTTTTCCTTTACAAGTATACTATTTAAGTTGCAAACAATAGGCTTGTATGTCGGCACCTTAGTGCTGACCCTGTAAATATCACAAATATCTGAAGGAGCCGCATCAACGTTCAAAGCTAATATAATTTTTTGAAATAAGTTTAAAAGGTCTTCCTTTGTTTCAGATTTAGGAACTGGAATGTTACGGATTTCAATGCTAGATGACCTATTTTGTCTTTCAAAAGTTTCCAGTTTTTCTTCCAGGTTTCTAATATAGGCACTATTTTCTTTCTGCTCTTTCTCCATCTTGAGAACCTTTTCCTTCAGTTCCGTGTTTTGCTGAGAGAGAAACTCTATGGATGAATGTATATCCTCGTTCTGTTTTCTTATTTCTGTGATTGAATTTTGAAGAGAATTTATTTTTTTATAATAAAGCCACATGTGTATACATGTGGCTTTATTATATCAAGGGTACGACCGTTATTGTACAAACATTACTGCGTTCCGGTTTAGAAGGGTAAAGGTGCTGGAGAAAACACAGGCTTGACTCTGAATGACACTGCAACTGTTAGGAACAAGCATGTCGCTTACCACCAGGCGCACTGTTCGTCCTGTTAATTGGTATCATAAAAAAACGTTTCGATGTTTTTTTATCTATTTGCTAGAATCATTTTCTCGTAGGCATTATTTTGTTCTCTTTCGGTTTCTTTTTTATTGTTAATGGTTATAAACACAAAAATTTTAAATATACAAAGCGTTTAAGTGTTATGATCTGAAGAAATGTACGATACTACGGTAGCGTTGTAAATACGGTAATGTAGGTACGTTATTTTTATTATTACATGATAGAAAGAGGCACTTTTACACAGTCTTTGTTGAATTCCCCAATTTATGTCATGTTTTATGGAGACGTGAATTTTTGACGGCCGTAATAATTTCGCTATATGTCGCATTTTACAACGCCCATAACCACGGTGAGTGATTCTTCAACATACAAACAACTTGTAGAATACGGTACCTACCCCACAAATCGTAAAAAGTAACAGTTACATTACATGGCGAGGCTTTGGTGGGGCTCAGTGCGGAGCAATAGGATTTTATTCATATAGGATACCTAGTAGCGGGACGAACGAGTCTTGGGCCTGGTGGTAAGCGACACGCCTGTCCATAACAGTTGCAGTGCTACTCAGTGCTTTAAATCGCAATGATTTGAGTCACACTGAGACATAATATGACAAGTTCCATGTGCCTGTAATTTCACCAACACCTTTACCCTTCCAAAGAGGGACGCAGTAATGCTAACATTACTGCTTGGCAGAAATAGGTAAGGTAATATAGGTAATGATAGTATAGGTAAGGTAATAGGTAAGGTAGATAAGCAGTAAAAAAGTAAGTAAGTAATAAGCTTGGCAGAAATAGGTAAGGTAATATAGGTAATGATAATATAGGTAATGATATATAGGTAAGGTAATAGGTAAGGTAGATAAGCAGTAATGCTAACATTACTGCTTTGCAAAAATAGGTAAGGTGGCAGTACTTTCCCGGACGAACTCTTTCACAAGGAGCTCTACAGCTATTTACTTGCAGTTCGTCCAGGGAAGTGCTGCCACGCTGCTGTAACGTAAACATTATACTGTCTTTCGATTTTGCATAGCAAGGAGGCTGATGAAATTACAGACACGTGGGACTTGTCAGCTTATGTCTCAGGGTGACAGACGCATGAGTTTTAAAGCTCTTAGTGGCACTGGAACTGCTATGGACAGACGTGTCGCTTAACACCAGGTCCACGACTTGTTTGTCCGGTCACTTATCATGAAAAACAATGATCTAATACTGGTGTACCTAAAAGAGCTATGCAAAGCGTATTTTCAACTTTATGATTTCTTCCAACAGGCAAAGACAATATGGTGACGCTTCTGTGCGATAACGGCGCAAATGTAGAAGCTCGTACCCGCGACGGCTTGACCCCTTTGCACTGCGCGGCTCGCTCCGGACACGAGAGGGTTGTTGAAGCGTTGCTGGACAGAGGCGCACCAATTACCAGCAAGAGCAAGGTTATGTGACGTCACTATGTATAATATAGTTTAGCTAAGGCTTGATGGTAGCTAGAGGGCTCTTGACTTTGTTGTACGCAGAGCTAGAAAACTTATTGGCGACGATAAGCTCGAATCTAAACTTCATACTTTAGCCCACTCTCGCAAAGTTGCCTGTCTGTCGGTTTTCTACAGAATACACTTCGGTGATTCTACCCATGAGCTTCGTCTACTTATTCCATCTTTTATCATCGGATATCCAGACATACGGCGGGATATCATTCTTACTTGGTCGATATCGCTTTTCGACATCTTGTATTATGCGCACAGCCGAGGAATGAAATTGCATATCTGCGACGTATTTCCGAGCACACAACCCGAGTATCTTTAAAATGCGACTGAATAGGCATCTTCTGAGTGAGCTTATTCCATCGTAGACCCTACTTTTGCTCCAAGGCTAAGTAGTGGCCAAGAGCAAGTCCATTTACTTTAAAAAAAAATTTATAAAATTTTGTAAATTCAAGCACAAAATTGCCAACGTTTCGCACAAACTTAGGTATTTCCGTTGTTCTTTAAGCACTTACAGCAGCTCCCTGTCTTTGAGATTACCCCTTTATTACTATTCCGCCTGGCAAACATGGCGATTATAACGTCGCCAGTTTGTTTACCTTATGTCTTGACAATGTTACTTCTCCCTACAGAATGGCCTTGCGCCACTCCATATGGCAGCGCAAGGAGACCACGCAGAGGCTGCGCGCGTGCTACTCTCGCGACGCGCACCCGTCGATGACGTCACCGTCGACTACCTCACTGCTCTGCATGTAGCTGCGCATTGTGGGCATGCTAAAGTCGCTAAACTGCTGCTTGATAGGTGAGTTTACATATGTACACATTCTAGAAACATATAAAAAGTCTAAATATGTTGGTAATGCCAGTACATTCTGGTATCTTATCACCTTATTACACATATAATGATAACTCACATCGAATACGGGACAGTAAAGAGAAGAAATAGTGGCGCTACAGAGTACCCTTCCCGAGATCATAAGCTGCTTCCACCAATTCTCTCCCTTCCATCATCTAGAGCTCATCAAAAGTAAAATACCCTAACAATCTAAAACATTCCCCTCCCGCTCTCTCTAAAACATCAGAGATCCGTGTCTCTGGCGGTAATACTACACTCCGCGACTGTCTCTCAATTAGGTAAAGTATATTTTAAAATTTTATCTTTCATTAATAATTTTGTTTCTCCAACAGAAATGCAGATGCAAATGCGCGCGCTCTGAATGGCTTTACACCTCTACACATCGCTTGCAAGAAAAATCGAATCAAGGTCGTTGAACTGCTGCTTAAATACGGAGCCAGTAAGTATTTTATAATTGACTGGTTCCCTATCAATCTAAAACCATTCAATATCTTCTCTGACGGTCATAGAAACCATGGTAAAACCACACTAAAAGACGGTGTTGCCCACTCCTGGTATTATCCAGTTATTGCTGTTTATCACATCCAATCAAGATACTGGATACAAGACCAAGAGTGTACAGTGTTGCTGTCCCTAAACAGTACGGCAAGAAGTAATTCTTCTCGTGAGCACTAAACACGCTTAACTGGAACACTGGATGCATTCAAAGCTACACAAAAAATACACACTGTAATCTTAAGTTAAGGGTCCAACGCATTAACGGTACGTACGGTGCGCGGCGCGGCAAGGTTTTATTATACGACAATATGCACTTGAATAAAGCGAGCAACTCCAAAAGGAAATTGCGGCTGGTTTTGTGCCTTTCATGAGATAAAAGCACTTTTGATGTAAGATCACACGTAACTTTATTATACTAAAGATACGAATTATTAGCGAATTATTAAAATTTTTACAACTTAAAATTCTTCCGTCCAGGCATTCAAGCGACAACAGAATCAGGCTTGACACCCTTACACGTTGCGGCATTCATGGGCTGCATGAACATCGTCATCTATCTCCTCCAACACGAGGCCAACCCTGACGTGCCCACTGTTCGTGGAGAAACTCCTTTGCATCTTGCCGCAAGAGCCAATCAGGTGTGTACATGGCTTAATTAGAAATCAGCAAAACTGTATTCATCTTCTGAACGGCTTTGGTTGAGCAAAAGTTAATATTTGTATGGATACTTTGAAAAAGATTCTTTATTTAGTTTAGCGGTTTTCCGCTGCCAGTTTGGATCTACAAAGGTTAAAATTTACTCTACATTGTTATGTTATTTTAGCTTAGTGAAAGCGACTGAATTTCTGTTAAAGTAACTTTGATGAAATATACCCAATAGTTTATCTAATAATTGCTTTATTGTATTTAATTATAGATATACTCGTATAATTAGTTTTTGTTTTCCGAGAAACACTGCAGATTGCAGGCGACACTCGATTTCTATGAATGGCTACAGAGCGACAACTCTCTTCTCTCCCCTCAAAATCATCTAGTTGAGTGTAGTTTCTCTTCCATAAAATGCCTCTCCATTAGGTCCATTGTTACCAATACCTTCCTGCCACTTCACCAAATTCACGTGACTGACTTCCACTATGACCTGTTCGCAGTCTCTATTTCAGCATTTTTCGTACCTCGTCTTAAATCTACGGCATATATGACTTCCACTTTCTTTTAGTTATCATTTTTGCTACGTCCATGTCGTGTTGTTGAATCAATTTCATGAGTAATATAATAGAAACTAGTATCACTAAACCGCAGTTGCCTACTGTCTGTCTGTCACTGCTGCGTTACTCGGAATAGCACCTTTAAGTCTAGGTACGTAGGTAATTAGAAGCTTCGTCACAATAATTCTAATAATGTAGTTATTAGACTTTTACTTCTTCTTATAAACATTGAGCTTCATGAAACATGTATGCTTCCATAGATTAAAATGATTAAGATATGACTTTTTACAGTTATAAAAATAATGATAAATATTCTCACCAGACTGACATCATCCGCATTTTACTTCGCAATGGAGCTGCGGTAGAAGCAAAAGCAAGAGAACGTCAAACGCCATTACACATTGCATCACGACTTGGCAACGTTGATATTGCTGTGTTGCTGCTTCAGCATGGTGCTGACGTCAGGGCGATGACTGCTGACCATTACAACCCACTGCATATTGCTGCTAAACAGCACAATCATGATGTAAGCATTACACTGTCATAACGAATGGAATTTTAGGGAATGTCTAGGAAAATTATTAGGTACTCAATTACCTTTCTGCTTGGCATATTTGTCATGTTTTACATATTATAAAGGACCTGTAGTAATTATGGTACAAATATCATAGGTGGCCGCTGCATTGATAGAGCACAACGCTCCGCTGACGGCTACAACCAAAAAAGGATTCACAGCCTTGCATCTCGCTGCAAAATATGGAAATCTAAAGGTATACAAGCTATGAATATGAATATCCAAAAATAGCTATTATTATAATTGATTTATGATCATATTTAATTGATCTTCGTTTCATGATTATAGGTGGCGAACCTTCTACTCGCCCATGGGGCCTCACCAGACCAAGCAGGCAAGAACGGCATGACCCCTCTTCATATCGCTGCACAGTATGACCAACAGCAGGTTGCTACTACTCTATTGGAGAAGGGAGCTGATGCTAAGGTAAATGTCTCGTTGAAATCCATTCAGAGATATCATCAACTCATTACACGTACCGAATCTCCTCTCCGCCACGCTGGCTTAATATGCATATATGAACTTTCACATGTTTTCTAAAGGATATGAACCTTCGACATGCAGGTTTTATCACAATTTACTTTGGAACGTCGAACAATCAACAACTCGTGAGATTGCCCCGTGTTTGTAGTAGCGTTTGTGTTATCTCTTTTATTAGTATTATTCATAGGGAAAGCGGGAAAATTACTGCATGAAAAAAATTCAACACAAGAGCAGCTATTTCACACAATTTAACCTTCAAATTTAACTGGACATCTTCAATTCAAATCCAATATTTTATTTGAACATCGTCAAGAAGCAATATTTTATCGAAACTCCAGTTTTGAAAATATTACTTCATGACGATTTTTGTTTTTTTTTCACACACTGTTTATGTTTTTTTCGCCAAAGAAAAAATTTTGCTATTGAAAGGAGAAATGAAGCTAGCCTTCTAGCCACGATGCCTCAGACCGCGCTCATTTTGTATTTACAAAGTTTCCAGTTTTTAAATTTTTATAATAAGTCTACTTAATTAATGAAATAAATTACCTATTTTCGAATTACTGTTCTTTCAAATTTACATATTTTTCGTTAACAGGCTGTAGCTAAAAATGGTCACACGCCTCTCCACATCGCGGCTCGCAAGAACCAAATGGAGACAGCGGCTACCCTGCTAGAGTACGGAGCTCTCACCAACGCAGAGTCCAAGGCCGGATTCACACCGTTGCATTTAGCCGCTCAACAGGTTAATAAAAATATTATTTCTTAATATTATATTATAGTATGCTAACATGTAAGTGACTAGCTTTGAAAAAAATTCCAATTGAACTAACAGAGGACAATTTTATTTTTTTCCTTTTAAATGCAGGGTCACACAGAAATGTGTTCATTACTTATCGAACATGGCGCAGAAGTTGACCATCAAGCCAAGAATGGCTTGGCAGCACTACATCTCACCGCTCAAGAGGACCGAGTGCCTGTTGCACAATTGTTGGTCAAGAACGGAGCAGAGGTAATGTGCAAAATGTACTTTTATTTAATTAGCACATCCAAAGTAACGCTTTAGGCAAAATTATGGGTTGAGTATTGTACCTTGTGGGTCACTATGGGCAATTATTACCAGTTTTGCTACAAGTCTTCGTTTGCGGGGATCAATTGCAATGATGCTTTTGCTGTTAAGATTTGAAGAATACACAATTTTTTTCAAGAAGTAAAGTTATGATATTTAATACAATATTCATGAAACTTACGTCGACAACTTAGTCGGAAGCCTTACTTCAGTCGTTGATTTCTTTTTAAAATATGAATTTAAATTTCTTGTATACCAGGTGGATATTTGCACCAAAGGCGGATACACCCCACTACACATAGCCAGTCACTACGGGCAAGCCAACATGGTGCGATTCTTACTTGACAATGGAGCGTCTGTCAAGGCGCAAACTACACATGGGTACGTTAATATAAGTTTTGAACAATCGGGGAAAAAACTGTACAAAATATTATTTCATTGCTAACAGATGTTTTAAGCGTCCTGTAGTTTTAACTTTGAACGGTTATTTTAATTAACTACTATCGCATCTGCTTATACAGATACACAGCTCTGCATCACGCTGCTCAACAGGGCCATATCAATATCGTTAATGTTCTTCTAGAACACAAAGCTGACGCCAATGCTACCACTACCGTAAGTTTGTTACTTTTCAACCCATGTAAATCCTAGGCACAAGTGTCCGAAAATGATGGTTTTAGATAACTACTTGTAGTTTATTAAAATATATGATATGTTCCTCTAAATACTGCAGCTTAAACAGCGTCTTCAGTCATTATTTGTAGATATCTAAATGCTGTTTTATATTCATATTCTCTTTTAAGTTGTTATTGACATCTTTGTCAAACAGACATTTAACCAATAACTATAAAATATTTATTTAATACTAATATTTATATAAAATATTTTTTCTAAATGATCTTTATCATCTTGGAACTGAATACTGTTTTCGCCATCTTGCAGAATGGGCAAACCCCTCTAGACATAGCGTCAAAACTGGGCTACGTGACAGTGATGGAGACACTCAAAGAAGTGTCCGAGCCTTCGATCGCCCAAGCGACTCAGGAGAAGTACAAGGTGGTGGCCCCAGAAACCATGCTGGAGACTTTCATGTCTGATTCTGAGGAGGAGGGAGGTGGGTGTCTTAATCTACATGAAAATTTAGCTTAAAGTATATGCTTTAAGAATCAAAGATAGAACGAAGAAAAATACTTAGTATAAAGTTAACTATTATTAAAACGTCCTTCAATAAAATGTCCCAATATTGATATAGATATTACTTTTATTTGAATAGTTATATGCTGGATTTAATAAAGATGCCGTACTCCTGAAGTTTCTTTCCAGTCCCTCATTGCTCAAATAGTGATTGTAAGATTCTATTTTGAAATGTATTTAAATTTTGTTTGGACTAAACTAGAATAATTTATTGCAGGTGAAGATACGATCTTGAACGATCAGCCGTATCGATACCTAACAGCTGATGATATGAAGTCTCTAGGAGATGACTCTTTGCCGATAGATGTGACAAAGGATGAGAGAACTGAGTCCGCGCTGAGCCATAAGAATATAATGGAGTTGTCGCAATGTAAATGATTATTTTACTATGAAAATGTTATGTTATTTCCCATTCTCTAGGAATCCTCGTAATTTTTGTTCAATCTTCTTCGCGAAAAATGTTTCACTTAAAAATAAAGTCATTCACTTCACCAAAAATTTTTTTCTTTAGAAATTATAATGAACTTGGTTACAAATACAAACATTAAATTTTGCTTACATTGCGTACAGCCTCCGGGATGAACGGAGTGCCTTACCAGCCGCAGCAAGAGGTGGTGGTGAAGAGTGTCAGCCGCTACAGCACACAGGCCACCGAGAGCTACTGCTACAACGTCGACCCGGCTATTCCGAAGTCAGTATTAAATCTAAGCTAGGATATAGGATAAAGTGGATAATCCATAGCTGTCGCTGCGTTGTCGAATTTTTTGCTCAAACCCTGTAATTTCAATACATCCATTTATCTGTCCCTTTTTGTCACAGCCAATACATACAATCGTGACTTGTCTCTGCTGCGTTGAAGTTGATGATAGTCGTCACATTAATTTGTGTTGTCCTCTTATGCACGCTATCTGGATATGGAACTACAGGAAAAAGTTACAGTGGAAAAAGTAAGTTCAATATATGCTACGTAAAATTCCTCTCTATTTCTATCAATTCTTATCATTGGTTGTATTGATACAACCAGATAGAATTACAATAGTTGGAGGACGATGCATGTGCGCTCAAACAGAACGAAATTTGTTTATTTTTATAATCGTTACCTGCTTATACCTCTTGTATACTTGTAATAAAGGAGCTCCGTCTTCTTGTTTCCCACAAATGTTATCTCAAACAATACTCTTTTATGTTCTACAATGATTAATTTTTGTTTAATTGTCTTACCGATTAGTTCAAATCACCTCATAACTTGTATTCTTTGATCAGCTTCCTGGTGTCGTTTTTGGTGGACGCCCGCGGCGGAGCCATGCGAGGCTGCCGCGGCGGCGGGGTCCGTGTTATCGTGCCGCCGACATCAGCACAGCAACCCACTAGGATCACTTGCAGGTGAAGGGATACAATGCCATGATCTTGCCTTTAAAAAAAAATCACTCATAAACTTTTTAATTTTAAGTAGAATTGTAATATCTGGAGCAGCGACTGAATGAACAATCGATTTTCCAGTTTCATCAAATACTTCTCACAAATTTAATTATCAAAGTTCATCCGACTGCTATAAAATATCGAATTCAGTCAAAAGTAATAAGCGATGTCCTGATGCATTACAGATACTTGAAACCGTCTCGAATCAACCACATGCCACCTCTGATGGAGGGAGAAGCTCTCGCAGCCAGGGTTCTCGAGATGGGACCAGTAGCCGCCAAGTTTTTGGGGTGAGTACTATAAATAACACTTTTCTCTTTTTTATCAAATTTTCATGAACAGATTTTCTGATATAAAAGTACCTACGACTCTGAATTAATTTGGCGAAATACATGCTAAAAGTATTTCTGTTTTATTTAAAAAAAATGATTCTTTTCTAAATCTTACAGACCCGTAATCCTGGAAGTACCTCATTACGCATCACTGCGCGGCAAAGAACGCGAGATCGTGATCCTGCGTTCAGACAACGGCACCAGCTGGCGGGAACACAACGCTGACGCTACTGACGATGTCGTTCAAGATATACTACATGAGACACTTGAGATTGAGGGTAGGTACCCACCCTCTAACTAGAACAGGTATTAGGAAGTCCACGATTCGTTTTGAGGCAAGTGATGGCCTAGTAATATCTCCTTAGAGGTGATTTCTTCCCTGTGCAATAACAGCCATTGGTTGATATACTTACAGTACCACAAATTTCTTCCGAACAAGAGCACTCAGAATCACGTTTATTTTATATTGTGTTATCTCCAATACAGACACAAACGACGAGGACAAAGGCTGGGAGAATCAGCGCGTGATCAGGATCTTGACCCACGATTTTCCGCAGTACTTCGCCGTTATTTCTCGCATCCGGCAGGAAGTACACGCAATTGGACCTGAGGGTGAGTACACAATGGTTAACTCCGTGCTTCCATAATCGATCAATTAGTCATCGGGTCGGTATTCCGAATCGGTGTGTCCGCGGACTAGGTATACTGCACTTACTGATCAGATATGGGCCAACTTCTTTATACAGTATCTCCAAAAGTGATGGAAACTATGTAATAGTCTTCCATAATATGTTAAATTAAAGAATCCTGGTCAATAAATCTAGTTGTATGCCATAATGGAGACCGACATTTGCAGCGAATCGGGTCAGGCTTTGAGGTGATGTGGTGGTTATAACTGTCCTTTTACTTTCTAGGCGGAATGGTATCCAGCTCAGTGGTACCTCAAGTACAAGCCGTTTTCCCGCAAGGAGCTCTCACAAAGAAGATCAAAGTTGGCCTTCAGGTAAACCTATTCAAACCTCGTAAAGGTGTTAAGGATAAGAATCTCAAAAAGATCACTGTCAATAATGTTTCCAAGAAGAAACGGTTCTCTTTAATTTGGTAGTGTGGCTACCTAGAGCATTTCGATAAAGTTACTCGTCCGGGTTACTTTTGTGGTGTTATAAGAAGTAGTATCATAGCAATTTTGACCTGTTCTTTAAGTGTTTGCTTATAGCCAGTAATGAGACCTAAGGCGCTAATGAGCGTTTTTTAGAGACGATTCAAAATATTGATATCGAGACACTGACAAATCAAGTTGAACAAAATCATACATACCTTGAGTTTTGAAGCGAGACAATAGTGACGTCAAAATAGAGTTTCCCTGAAACCATCAGAAAGTGCCAATGAATTTAGTTCTGTCAAATTAGGCTAGGTTTAGAAATTAGGATCATAGATGCGACCATTCCAACAGAAATGTTAGCGTTCTAATAGGATTAGAAAAAAACTATAAAAATAGCATTGAAGATGCAGAATCAATTTGAACAATGAGCACCTAACAAAGTATAATTAATTGATATCGATTTGTCAAATAAGACATTAGACTATCGAAACCTGATGTTTTATTCTGGTATAATCAGTAAATATACTTATAACGTCATTAATGAAACCTTGGACAATTCACTATTTTTAATTCTAATGTAGACATTAGGGAATATATTCTTGTATGAGGGTCTGTACTTGATACCGACATGGTCGGGTGAAATACGATACGTACTTATGAAATTAAACGAAAAATAGTTACCATTTTGTCTTATCGTCTTTTAAATTAATTAGTTGTAGCTTTATACTTTATGTGTAATGTGTAATTCTAATATAACGAACCGGTTGCTGTAGGAAATTCTAACCAATCAATCACACGGTACAACTTTGTTTAATACCATGTTATTGGTCAATTTGAATTTGCTTTAAAATTCCAAGTCATACAATTGGTTTGTTTGAATTTCGTATTGTAGTATTATCGCGAATGGTCTTCTGTGTTCCACACACGCCTGTAACTTTAAGCTCTATTACATTGTGCTAATGTGTATCCGTCTCCAACCTTTGGTTTAAAGTACAATCGGTCAAACTTTATGTTTAAAGTGAACGACAGTTAGTTAGCTAACTGAAATTAGTATAATGTGCAAGAGAGTTTGTCTCTTTTAAGAAAAAAACTAGTTGCAGAGTTATTTTTCTAGTCGATGTTTTATCTTCTCCATTAGCAAAGAATGATTTTTAAGAACAATCAGGGCCCCAAGTCTGCCAATTTTAAATCACCTCAATTGAGTATTGATAGTGTCAGTGCCTGGATTTTGTACATTTGGTATTCTGCTAAAAATCAAAACAAAAGCTTGTCATAGGCTAGCCATAGAGTTACTACGCAAATGCCATTGCAATTTCTTGGGATTCTTCTTGGCGAGTCGATGGCACATCCATGATGTAGTCTACCAATCATTTAACATAAAAAATACATTTAATATGAAGACTAAACGATATATAAGATATAAGTAGTAGTAATATGCGTAATAGTATTAGTAAGGTAACATCGATCGTTAATGATTGAATAAATGAATGCCATCAGTGTCATTCCACTTACAGTCTATTGAGGCTCAACTGCCATTTGATCTAGATTTTAGCAGAATAGCAAATATTGTTACAGGAAATGAAACTATTTTTCCGGTTTTAAATGTTGTGTTTTTGTTTATTCAAACAAACCAACGTTTCGGGCCCTTTACATGTCCCATGGACACGATTGACTGAGATGGTACAGTCTTCAACCAGTTATGTCTAATATTAATGCAAACCACCCTATTTTTTTTAATATAGTTACAAAAGGTATTAATTAAATACCTTATTTTTAGTTTTACAAAGTAAGGGGCCCGAAACCTAAGAACTCGACAAATGTTGTTATTTTAAGTTTATTGATTATTGCGATCTTTTACTACCATAATATTTAAGTGACGAAAGATTGTCGTAGATTTCTCACAATTGGCGCTACGACTAAAAAGTGGTTAAAAACAAAGATGTACAACAAGCACGTAAAAAAGTTCGTAAGATCTGCTGGTTCGTCCCGTTGCTCAGTTGCGAGAGCGTTAAAACGGTATGCTGAAGACGCTGGTTCGAATCCAGCCGGATCGACGGAATGTTTCTTAGTGTGCGGTCTTTGTATTAATAAATATTGTCGTTATTTGCAATATAATAGCAATGTAATTACAATGACTAGTGATTTAAAATAAAATAGCAGTATTTTGGGCCTAAGTAGACTCGAGTTTTTTTGGAATATGTGTGGACCATGTGAGAGACAGTTGATGCCCTTGGTTTCAAATCGTTAATAGATAATCAAAACCATGTGTTCAAGTAATTGTATATTAATTTAAAGCCAAAAACAGTTGTGTTCTAAAAAACGTAGTCCGCATTATATCACGAACAACATATAGTACAAAATTGATTGCCAAATTTGTTATTACCTTTTTTTAATTTTATTGAATGCGTGTTTCGGATTTGCGGTGCCTGGGAATTTTTATATTTAGTTTGTAAATGTCCCGTACATTTTTAGAAAGTATTTCTACTCATTTTAATACGTCACGATTTCAAGTTAGCGAGCAGTTTGTATTTACATAATTAAACTATATAGAGCTCAAAAAGCCCAGTCGGCGATTATTTTTAGTGGAAAACACTCGCCGTTCGCATCACTATTACGTGACTAACTTACTTTAGTAAGTTTAAACGAGTTAATAAGTGGTAAGTAAGCAGTACATTCCTTGTTACCATTAAAAAATCTTTGAACATGTCAAAGTTGCCAATCAGTACCTACACTTCTACTTGTTACTTATTTAACTTATTTTAAGTAGTAGTAGAGCTCCTTGTGAAAGAGTTCGTCCAGGGTATTACTGCCACCTTACCTATTTCTGCCGCCAAGCAGTAATGTCAGCATTACTGTGTTCTGGTTTTGAAGAGTTAAGGGTGCTGGTGAAATTACAAGCACATGGGACTTGTCAACTTATGTCTAAGAAGGACGGGCCCTGTGGTAGTGCCGCTCAGATCTTTGCCATTTAAAGCACTAAGTGGTATTGTAACTGTTATGGACAGGCGTGTAGCTTACCATCAAACACACGACTTGTTCGTCCCATCACTTGATGTTATAAAAATAAAAAAAAAATACTTTACACATGTAACTTTGAATGAAAACTCATTTAAACTTTGCGCGATTTAGAATGAAAGACTTCTTCTGCAGTGTAGAGTACACATAGATACTTTTTAAGTAGTACACTAAATTGGTCAAGTGATAGTGAAGTAAACGGATTAAGTTTTCCGTCGAGCATAATTCATAATCACATATCGTTAATCATAATTGTAAAACGTAGTTGTCACATGTCATAAAATTGTATTTTTAGGACACAATTTTGAATAAATGCTGGGCCTTTAAAATATGTGTACACGGAATAAAAATAGTAGATACTTATTTAACAAAACAAAAGAAAGCCAAATGAATTAAGGTTCTGTCTTTTAGACTTAATAATGCTGTTTATATCACTGTTTTTACAAATTAACTGTGAAAAGTTTAAGGCTAATTATACACGGTACCGTAACAACAGCGGCATCGTAGTTGTAGTTTATTACCTTGCATTTGTATACATAACTTCATACACGTATCGCGCCGGGGGCGTTACTTGATATGGCGGCGAGCGTTGCCTCAATTCTCTACTTATGTCAGATTGTAGAAGTAGAGTTCCTTGTGAAAGTTCGTCCAGAGAAGTATATATATGTATATACATCTCAGGGTGACAGGCGCAGTGGCAGTGTCCCTCAGATTTTGCGGCGGCCCAGCAGCAAAAAACGCCGCCGCGGCGCCATGTGTAATTAGCCCAGATATTTAGAACAAACAGTGTCAAGAGTTGTCTGATGCGTAAAAATAATTGCCACACTGAAACGCGCGTTTCAGTGAGCCTGGGTTCGTATAAACTCGTACATTACAAAAATTCCGGAAATTTAAAATTACGGAACGCTTCGGCGGCCGCCTCTATATGGCAAGAGCATTAGTGTAATAAAGCCACATCTGCAAAAAGACAACTTAAAGAGAAAGGCTTAAAGATTTTACAAACGAAATTTGTTAATAACTTTTTTATGCTTAAATAAGAGTGTTATAAAATTTCATATTTACATCACTTGTTTCATGTAATATGAAGTTTATTGACTATGACGATGTTTACTACCATGATATTCAATTATTTTTTGTAAAATTACTCGAGCTATTAGTTGGGAGAGCGTCAGCCTATTATGCTTAAGACGCTGGTTCGAATCCAGCCGGAACGAATGAATTTTTCTCTGTATTCGATCTTTGTATTTATAATTATAACAAACTAGTGAAGTAATTTCACAAAAGAATAATTGACTATCGTGGGAGTAAAACATCGTCAAACAAACTTCATATTACAATTATTAAAGCGATATTCCTAGTCAGCTGCTGGTAGCTGTAAAGGTACCTGGCTGAAAAGAAAAACTATCATAGATTTCTCACAGATGGCGCTACGGCAAAAAATCGTTAGAAACCAATAACAGAGATCTGCAACAAGCACAGAAAAATTCGTTGAGTCTGCTAGCTCGTTCCGTAGCTTAGTTGGGAGATAATCGGCCTGATATTCTAATGACGCTGTTTCGAATCCAGTTGGATCGAATGAATTTTTCTCTATGTTCGATCTTTGTATTAATAATTGTTTCATGTAGTTCGTGTTATTTTATAACTTTCATTTTTCATCGCGTATAATCACATTTGGCTTTATTGTACCAAGTGTACGAAGTTTATGAACAGTAAATCCTGCTGGTTTACGCCCGGCGTTTTTTCTGAATTGTGCCTAAAATAGGTAACCACTTAAAATTTAAGAAATATATATTTTAACATTCTAGTTTTAAGATTTGCGTTACTCCTATAGGGATAATGTAATACCCAATAAATTTAGTATTTCCTTAAAAATATGTAGCCATTTCATTGTAGAACGATAATTGAATAAAAGTCGTGTTTATGTCACAATTTGTTTCAATAATTTGAAGCAAATTTGGAGTATATGAAATCACTGTAATGAAAAAAATAGGGTTTTCTCACACAGCGTTTATGACGCCATTTTGAATTTTGTATTGTTGTTGGTCTTTAGGCAAAAAGCATGAGTTTGTTAATGAATATGACTATACTGTGTATGATATACAAGACTTTTTGTACATATATTATAATTATACTGTATATTATATTTAATTATATTATAAGATTTGGAGTGACGTATTTACATAGTTAAATAGTAAATATATTTTGAAGTTTAGCTAAATTTATTGGGTAATGTTTGCTTTATCGATATCTACTCGATTATTATGCGAATTATATACTTTATATCCTAAAGACCAAACGTGAAAATTGCATGATGTATTATTATTTGCTGTTTTTTTTTTCAGTGTGTTAGCTTGTTAGTGTGTTTTTGGTTTTGTACGCATGTGTGAGAAATAGACTGTCATACAAAACGAAATGTATGGCAGATGACATTTTCCTTTACGCTTTGCCCGTGATTTCATATGTTCATATCTGCTTCGTATTGCACCGACCGCCTTCTGCCACAGACCTGTTTTATTTTTTAACTAAATTAAGATTTGTTTCAAACTTCAGGCAAATAAAATCAATAAATTTTATGGCCTGAACAGTGAACGATTATCTACTTATACCGTTACACTAATTCATCCTTTTCGTTATAAATAAATACATCAACTAGATGTTGTTATAGATTGACATGCGATGAGTATCTATAATGACGTCACTAGTAAAACGCTACAGTAAAACCGTTTTTATTCTTAAGTACCTTGAAGGTAAGTAGTAAGGCTTTGAAAATGCAACAACGGTAAGTTACAATCATATACTTAGTCATTTTCATATGCACCAAAAACTGTTCGCACACAAGCATGTGATATTCGTGTTTGGTCTTTAGAATAAAAAACAAAGGGGAAGCAATAAATACAAAATTACCCCGTTTGAAACAATCAAATAAACTAAGGAAAATATACTTTAAAATGCAAACCACAACGCACAATTATCATTTCCAGGCTCAAATTATAGACTCGGAACTGACAGCGAAACTCCTCGGCCGCGGAGTAGCTGTCTCTCCAGTCGTTACCGTCGAACCTCGAAGGAGGAAATTCCACAAAGCTATAACCCTGAGCATGCCAGCTCCAAGGCCTCATACTCAGGGCATGACAAATCAATACAGTACTTCATCAGCACCGACTTTGAGACTACTGTGCTCCATTTCAGGTAATTTTGTGGTATTTTGCTTCTCTTTTCCTGCGATTTTCTTTAATTATTGGAAACACACCGTTAAAGGCTTATTATCTAACTTGTTTTTGTCCTTAACTTTGTTCGCGATCGGAATTAAAAGTACTCAACTGTTTCAAAACGAGATTTACCGACAATGAATTGACCAATTCTTCAAGTCTGTTCAGCAAATTGTTGAGTATTCAACATTCACACATTTATATCGTTTACAAAAGACGAGTACAAAGAGCTGATGATCTGTAAATGACTAAGCATCTACTTATTGATTCATCAAACATAACCCAGAACTATCCCGATTAAACCAGCCCTTAAATAATAAAGCTTCTTTGATCAGTCAGATTAGATCAGATCGGTCCTTCCGTTTGAGAGCTGCGATCCCGCATACATTTTGACATGACATGCCACAGACAAAGGCTTCAAATTTATAACTTCCCTGTTTTTGCCTCGAAGGTATTAAGGAAAGAAGAAGATTGAAGATGTAACTATGCGAAGCCTCATTAGATTTTGAAATTATATGCATTTTTGGAGTAAATTGTCGAAATAGGTATGTTCACTGCAAGAACAGACGGTCCAAAAATTCTCCCATATCTGGAGAATTTCTTGATCTTTCAAAATATAAAGGGCATCGTTATTACGTATGGACTGCCCTTAATTAATTCTACAAACATTGGAAGATTTGTGCCACAAATGAAATCACTTTCTTCATATCATGTCGATGGAATACACTATGCTATTGTGGCCCAGAACTCAACCCCTTCGACCGCGTCACTTGTTAGGGCTTGCATTCCCTGGGCACCATATGAGATGGGCCATCCTTTGAATAGCACCGCACAAACAATCCAAGTTACAACCATCCGAAAACCCCAGCTGAACAAATTGTCCTTACTCTGGCCAACCTGAATCCGAAGCCTATATTTAAAGACTTCCGCCAATGGGCCATAGCAATTCGTGTCCAAGAGGAAAACTCTCAGAAAGCGGGACAAAGATAGATGAAAAGGCCCGACCTAAGAGATTCATCATGAATTACTAACGATCTATGCTTAAAATATGTACAACTAAAGAATGGCACGAAAACCGAGCTATTCTTTCTCGAAAATAAAGTGTTGCCACATAAAAGTTTCCTTTGAACGATCAATGCTACAGACAGTTTGTTTCCAATAATTAAACATAATATTGTCAAGTGTTGCAATGGAGTATGGCTTGTGTTTGCTACAATCTTGACAAGATCAACGCTTTGCGTACTCAGGAGGTAAGTTAGCCTATTTGGTAAAATACTGGGCTTTAACAGTACTATTTTGCTATTATTTTTTAGGTATACGTGTGATAGTTAAAGTATATTTCATTATAACACGTTAGTGGTGTAGAAGGGTTAGTAAAGAACCATAACTATGTCGATCGATAGTGTAGATTTTAATAATTTTTCCATTTGTTGGACTCTATGATTGATAGTTAAAACTCAGTTGACATAGAATTTCTTTGATTTTTTTGGATAAATGTATCAATAATTATGTCATAGAGTAGATAGGAGGAGACGGTTTTAGTACAAACAAACTCCCAAGTTTTTGCAAAGGGATGAGCATGGTTCGAAATTTTTAGAGTAGTTCAGTATTTCATTCAAACTCAAAACTTGACAAAAGGGGGTTATAGTCGATAAATGAGAAAAAAACAAGCGCTTATAGCAAATACACCGCATAGGCTAAAGGGAATCGTCCCTGTGTGTGCGTTTTGTGCGTGTCTACATTGTCTTTGTTCCCGTGTGTTTGTGTGTGCACGCTAACCATTGCGGCGCTAAATTATATGCTGCCATCTCCCTGCGCGCACCTACAGGGGTATTTCGCAAACGATCTCTCGAAGGTAATCAATAGACCTATTAATTCAACTAAACAAAATCGAAATCGGTTTAAGTTCCATAATTATATTCCTCTTCTGTTACTTTTATTTTCTAATCACGTTATCCTTGTCTATTCCATACGTTTTAAGTTTCCACGAGTCATTTCAATGTGATATTTATACTCTGTTTTTGTTATTGAGTATAACTGTCAGAAACATAATGATTTTCTACCGTCTATCACTTTTTGAATGCTTTTTCCATTTGTTGCTTCTCATACATTCTGTCTCTTTGCACGGGCTGAGAAATTTACGCTTTGTTGATCACCTCACTCTGTATCATAAAACCATTGAAATCTTGGGACGTCAAGAGAATGCACTGCAATGCTGTCACTGGACGTTTTCGGTTTAGAATGAATTATAACAGGAATTCTGGACTGCATTGGCACATTATAAGATCTGAACACGTTAATGTTTACTTTAGTCTAAGCGTTTATAAAACATATTTAATTACCGGTGCCATGGTCATGCTCATTTCATATATCTGCGTCAATATTCCCTGTCTTTTGTTATTTTGCTTGTACTACTCGAAGTTCTTTTCCAAAACGGCCTAACAGTTCTGTTTCACATCATCTTCTGTTACATTCCTCATTTCTGTTTTTGTCATTATTTCACTAAACACGTATTAGTTTCGTTTGTTTTATGGATTGGACTTTGGGTTTTGTTTTTCAGTGTCCTTCGAGAGATCTTTCGAAAAACCAGACAATGGCAATTAGAAATGTAGAATCATTTTCATTTTGAAATATAGCACTGTTATTACGTAAGAGGAGACCGTACACTGTGTGCCACATTTAGTCACATTTATTTCAAAAATGAGTACGGGATGGTACATTTTTATTGTTTTTCGTGTGATGTGTTGCCCTTTGCTTGTCGTGTGTTTGCTATAGGCCGTTTTGGAAACATTTTCTTTAATTTCATTATTAATTTTTAAACCTTTCTTTCTGATTTCCGATCTTTCTTCTACATCGGTTCTGACTAATCTTTGACATTTAATTTTACACAGTTTTAATGAATTATAAACTTAGGTATCTATATTTTCTGAACTACACATTTCAATACACTTACATTTATTAAAAAATTAGTTTAGCATTTATTAGTAGAAAGAATCTAGTAACTCTAGTAATGAATTATGTAATTATAAAAGCCTGCTTTGGCATGCGATGAAGTAGCCACTTAAGCAGTTGAAAACGATCTAACCGCCAAAAACTGCCTATTTAGCTTTGAGAAATCTGATGAAGACATAGCCATTATTGTAGAAAACGATCATAGCATGCCCTAAGATCTTGACAAAAACATTATTTAAGAAAATGAGACATAATCTTTAATGACAGGAGGCACGAATCGCGCTCATTGGGAAGACGTGACTGAAAACACGCCGTTGACGTTTGTGAATGATTGCGTGTCGTTCACTACGACTGTATCCGCAAGATATTGGCTGATCGATTGTCGGCATATTGAGGACGCCACTAAGATGGCCACAGAGCTTTACAGGTAAGTTTATAAAATGAATTTAGGTGTTCAAATATTATTAGCTTATGAAAGGGAAGACAACAAAAATGCATAATATATACAGGGCAATCTTGTACTTCCAATGATGCGACAATGTTAGAATTGTCCCCATATAGGCCCTTGGCGTAATAAGGTCTCATCTGCAAAATGACAAATTTTCTGGAGAGAGATTTGAATATTCTAGAAACGAAATTAGTCTATAACTTGTTGTGCTTTTTTAGTAGAGTTATAAAATTTCACAACTTTTGGGACAGGATCACATGTGGCTTTATTGTAATGTACGATGTAAGGTACGATGGCAGCCTTAGTTGAACTACTGTTTCAATATCGTTGCGGGCACGTTCCAATCCAAGGTCACATTTTTTTGGCACTAACAAAGGTAATAAGGTCCGGTTTAGCAAATAATTTTCTTATAATTTCAGAGAAGCTATCCACGTGCCATTTATGTCTCGCTTCGTGGTGTATGCCAAGCGAACAGATGAGCTCCAGGCCCAGCTGCGAATGTTCTGCGTCACCGATGACAAAGAAGACAAGGCTCTGGAGAGGATTGAAAGGTTCCTGCAGGTTGCTAAGAGTCGGGATGTTGAGGCAAGTTTCGTAGGACATGTGGAATCCAATTCTTTTTAAGACGAATAGTTCAATGTCGTTACTTACCATCAAGTAAGAGCTTATATCGCAAAAGAAATTTTTATCTAGATATTGGCTACCTGATGGGCTGAAACTAAACCAGGGTTTGCCAGTAGAGGGTGGGTCGTTTGTGACTTTCTGAACAGTAGTCCATGCTCTCTTACTATTCCGCGTCATATCAACATTAGAGATTGTATTCGTCCGCTTTTCTCTCCGGCTTTGATTGACAATGAGTAAGAGCTCATTCCCAGACATCAGGGTATCCTCAGAGAATGGATCAGCAGTGTTCCCATGTCACCAAGCGCGCGACTTGTTCATCACGTCAATTCATATTATTAAAAGAAACTGATTTTGGACAACTAGATTAAATAAATAAAAAGCTGTTGTCGTTGTTTATGTCAGGGATGAAGGTGCCATTATTTGTTCATCCATCGTATATTCGGCAAATTTCACTGATTAAATTTACTGATTGTGTAAAAAGTGTATTCGTGAAATAAGTGCAATGGAATGCTCTTTTACTAATTCGTGCGTAGTCCTCTCACAAATACTTCTTTCTCTTACAAGCTCTTCGTTCAAAAACCTAGCGCGAAAAATACAGTTAGTGTATGAGAACGAGGTTAGAAAATGGAAAATATTCCACACATCTACAGAGAAGACACGCAAACATGCGCACACACTCGTAGCCGTAGTCGTAACACTGGGGTAATCTTGTATCGCGGGTGCCATAGACACACACATAGACAACCACAAAATACACCCAAACTCACGAGAGAAATAAATGTTGGCCATATAGATATTTCTCTCGGCTCGGGAATTAAACCCGGGACCTCTGCATAACAGTCCAGCATGGTAACCGTTCAGCCACGAAAGCTTGTGAAGTCGTCTCGCGATTTATATGCTTTGAGAAACGATAAACTGTACAGGTTTCCAATCTGCAGTATCTGTAGGATTACGGATGCTAGCCAGCACCACATGCTGCAATCTTGATTGATAGGTACCGACGCGAGAATATTGGTCGGGCGCGGACTTTATGGACAAGTTGAATGCCCTTGATATTATGTACTTCACACAAAAGTTTGGCGGTCTCGTAGGATTTTGATTATTTTGAATATTTTTGGGAACATCGAGCATCTCTGCCTTCTTGCTTTGGTGAGCGGGTCGAAACTAGCTCGTAGTGCTAAAGCCCACCTGTCTGATATGATAGAAATATAATGATTGTTTCTTCATAGGTTCATGAAGGTAAACCGATCTACCTAGAATTCGGTGGTAACCTGGTCCCAGTAGCAAAATCAGGAGAGCAACTATCAATTCCCTTCCGTGCATTCAGGGAGAACAGAGTTGCGTTCCCTGTGATGATCAAAACTCAGGACCTGGAGCCGATGTGCCGATGCCAATTCATGAGGGATCCGAAGGTCCAAAAAGGAGAACCCTCGCCGGCGCCTGTAAGTATTGAAGAATTAATTGACTAAATACCTTCCTTGTCATTTCACTTTTTAGGTTAAACAACAAATCCTTCAGTCGATCATGGTATTTGGTCTGTGATAATGATAGTAATAATTATAATCAAAAGTAGTAGTCAGGAAATCTTTTTTAGTCTGAAAATCTTTGGAGGAAGCCTATGTTCAGCAGTGGACGTCTTCCGCTTGATATGATGATGATTATCAAAAGATCAACATAGGCGTACATATCTGAACCACAATGAGAATGTTCTTGAGGCCTGGTCAAAAGTAATAAAAATGTTTAAAACTGCAGGACCGCAGCTAGTGGAGCCGTAGTCTCTGTGTATCTCTACATGTCATGTATGTGTTCGATGAAGAATCCATTAATTAAATACTACTATTTAGACTTTCAAGTTTAGACTTTCGGTATTCCAATCAGATCGCAGTGCTAAACATCATGGTTCCCGATGAAGTGGCGGTAGATAGGAGTTCGCCGCAGCCCACTGACAGCCTTCCACGGCGCACCGCTGAACAGGAGCTCATTTGGAGACAACGTCTTAGTGATCCTAGGTAATTTTGTTAATTTGGAGTATTATCAGTATGTTACGCGATAACTCCGAAAATATTCCACCTGTAAGGATGGCAATAATTTGCAACCCCTAATGAACACGGCTTATTGGATTTCACCTACTTTCCGTTTACCGATTTCAATAAAACTTGGCAAGTAGATGTAATTATTTATTTATTTAATTACTAAATTTAATATTTATTTTGGTAGCTACCAATGCCCTTTTTTATAGGTATATGAGAAAGTGTGGCTAAAACTAGTCCATGCAAATTTTTCGAAATTCGTTCTTACAGTTTGTTAGAAAAGGTAAGGTAAGACATGAATAGAAATAGTCCACAGAATAACAACAACTTTAACGTAATTGAAAATGAAACATTTTTCTTTTTTTTATAAAAAATAAGTACGCATTTGACCTCCATCTCACCTGATGGAAAGTGATGATGAGGTCGACGATGTAGCATACACACCTAAACAATGCCTATTCACTCTCACCTTGAAAAGGTCCAAGTTATAGCGTTCGGGGGACAAGTCCGCAGGTAGGGAATTCCACTCTCTAGCCGCTCGCCATATAAATGGGGAAGCGAAACGCTTCATGCGAATCCTGGGAATATCCACGACATAGGGGTGGAATCCCAGCCCACATCTAGTCCCCCGATGATACAAAAGGGGAAGGCGGAATCAAATTACTCAATTCCATCGCACGCTCTCCGTGATACTATCATCAAAAAAAAATCATATTGTTAAAATAAAATAAAGTACTTAAATTAATAACTTTACTATTTTGAACTAGAGTTCAGAATAGGGTGTTTGCATTAATATTAGACATAACCGGTTGATGACTTTACCATCTCAGTCAGCCGTGACCATGGGACTCGAAAAGGAACCGCGAAAACCTCAGAACTCGATAACTATCACAAACATTTTTATTTTGCTGGAAAACATTTGGTCCTCTCTACTAATATCCGTTTGATTATTTGCTTCTGTGGTTGGGGCGATCAAAATCTTATTGTTACACGTGCTGCTAAAAAGTCGGACCTTTTGTATATACTCTGTATATATATTAATTATATAACCACAATATATAATCTGACTTTTCAGACTGGAAGACATCTGCAACCTTCTAGGCAAGGATTGGGTCGCTCTGGCCTACGAACTGGGAGTAAGCTTGGCCACTGTCAATCAGATTCAGGCAAAGAGAATTACTGCGCCGGAGCAGGCTCAGCTTATGCTGAAGCTGTGGAAGACGCAGTCCGGAACTAAGACGCAGGGTAATATTGAGACAAATAAAAAAACGTTCCGTGTCTTAGTTGGCACAGCGTCTGACACGGTTTCCTAGAAGACGTCGGTTCGAATCCGGCCGTATCGAAGGAACTTTTTCTAAGTGTTCGATGTTTTGTATTAATAATTATAACAAACTAGAGGAGTAATTTCACAAAAAAAAAATTGAATATCAATTTAATAAAAATTTAATAATACAGTGAATAGCGACATCTCTCGCCACGACTGGTAGCTGTAAAGGTACTAACTGGGTGACAAATCGTTACGTGGCTTAGTTGTTATAGCGTCTGCCACGGTTTGTTAGAAGACGTCGGTTCGAATCTGGCCTGATCGAAGGAATTTTTTCTGAGTGTTCGATCTTTGTATTAATAATTATAACAAACTAGTGGAGTAATTTCACAAAAAATAATTGAATATCAATTCAATAAAAAATTAAAAAGTCGTTGAAAACCAAATACAAAGATCCGACAACAAGCACATAGAAAAATTCGTGAGATCCGTGGGTTCGTTACGTGGCTTAGTTGTTATAGCCTGACACGGTTTGCTAGAAGACGTCGGTTCGAATGCGGTCGAATCGAAGGGTTTTTTCTAAGTATATGGTATCTTCGTATTAGTAATTATAAAGAAGTTAATTGGTAAAAGTCTATGGAACAATCTGAGAGGACTGCTGACTAAAAAACATTGCCAGGTTTCAGGAATGGGAAAGATCTATATGAAAGAGTAGTTTCTGAAGAGCCTATTAATTTGATTAACAACGTGATAGTTAACATTTAAGAAGCAACAAGATGTAAACTTACATAAATTAATACTTACAGACACATCTCTCGAGTTGGCGCTTTGCCGCATCGGTCGTGATGACATTATCGCCCCACAGTCTGACGTCACCAATGAACGACGTATACAGCGCAATATCTATCAGGAGAGACAAGCGTCTGAGGAGATAGAAGCTTATAAAGGTAAAATAACTAATACGTATTTTATTTCGCAACGAACTATAAAGTGGCGGCAAGTATAACTATAATCAAATAGTCACTGAACGTAATGAATGCTAACCTTTTCTGTGACTTCGTTTGAAATATTAGTAGTTTAGGTACTATCTAATCTAGGACAAAGATCAATTCAACTTCAACTAAATCCATATAGCCGTTTGTTGGCGCTATTAACTAAAACGTACACATATTATGTTCAACCCTTTGTATATTTATTAATGTATATTGAAATCTTGAGCAATGTCTAAAAGCTCACATGATAGCATTTAAGCGACATTTAAGTTTTAACAACATTTTCGTTTCGGCAAATCTGTCACTCGTGTACAAATTGGTTACAGCGGAGGAAGATAATAAATTAAAGGAGAAGATTCTGGAAGAGAATCAGATTGCGGAGCGCATGCGTGAGACTGAGCACGATCAAGACGAGGCTAAATATTCTCCGGAAGAAAAATCCGTCATTGAAAAGAGCGAAATTGAGAGGACTCCTACGCCTAGTGAAGAAAGTGAGGAAGATGAAGGTATATCATGTTTACTTACTACTGTTTACTTAATACGGTTATTACATTTGCAACCCGATGGGATATGTTAATCTAGGAACGTATTCGTTTTTATGTGTTCATTAAACTTGTAGCATAGTTTTAATAATACATATACTTTATACTCGTGGGTAAAACGTCTTAGGAAAGTTTTAAATATAAACTAAAAAAAATATTTATATTTTCCTTTTTTTAGACGTAAAACGCAGCGTTGCCGAAAGAAAAGAACAAATTACAAGAAAGCTCAGTTCCAGCAAAATTCCAGCTTCGAAACAAAAGAAAGAAATACGTGAAGAAATCATTGAAATCAAGACTCAAATTAAACCTGATATTAAAAAATTCCACGATATAGAACAACAAGTTAAAGTCGAACCTAAATTGGAAAGAACTAGATCTAAAACGTCCCCTGAATCTGTTGAAGAAGAAAAAGAGATAGATGTGCACCAAGCAGAAACTATTAAAAAAGGAGAAACAAAGTCTGTAGAACGGCCTGTTGAACAATTTAGAAAGTTTGATCCTTCGTCACCAGGAAAACCTACACCTAAACACTTACAGAGACATATGAGAAATGAGTCAATGAGATTTCCTTCTGGAGATTTTTCTAATATCACTGTCACACCTAGAAAATCAGTAACTGCAGAGACTAGTGAAATGAAACAAACAGTTGATAGTAAAGTAGAAACATTTACGAGAGAGACTATATCTCAAAAAGAAATTTACTCATCCAGAGTCGAAGAAAAGTTAGACGATGGTGATCGGTCGCCGGATTTGGAAGAAGATGTTAAAGATGTTGCTTTAGCTCCTCTCAAACAAAAGATCAGTTCTTTTGAATCTAAAATGTCAAAGGAATCGTCTATAGACTTGCCTAAGGCAACTGTTAAGTTAACGAAAGAAGCCTTGAAAAAACATACAATGGAACAGGGACAAGGTATTGAATATACACAAGAATTTGTTAGAAAGCAATCTGAACAACTTTCACATATGGAAAGTATCGATCGCGTAACTCAAAAAGTCTCCATTGAAAAGGAGCAACACGCTGAAATTGTGAAATCAGTTAAAGAAACGATACAGCGATTTGATTCCAAACCAAAAATTGACGATAAAGTAAAATCTTTTCCCAAAACAATGAGGACTGATTCTACTTTAGTTCAAGTATCATCTGAAGAAGACAGTGAATTTCTTAAGAAATCTACTGATTCTGAAACGGAAACAGAATCTCAGACCACCGTAAAAGTCGATATAGAGGAAAGAAAATTTAAAGGCAAAATAGATGGCGATGTTTTCAACAAGAAATCTGAAATTAAACCTAAAAAAACTCTCAAAGATAAAGAAAAGCATGAAAAACCTAAAAAACCTGATGACGATGATAAGAAAGGAGGTCAAGGTGTTGCTGTTAAAGTTCAGAAGATTGAAAAGCAAATGACTGAAGAATTAAGATCCAAAGTCAGTGAAGAAGAATTAACTGAAACTTTTGAAGAAAAGGATGTGTCTATTTGCCAGAAAACCAAAGACAAGGTAAGTATATTCTAGTTAGTATTTAATGAAAACTTCTTTACTCTATACCCAACCCTATTTTCCTTATTGTCTTCTTTTAGGTTGAAACCCAAGCTTCTGTAGCCTCTCTATCTGATATTAGTAAATATACAAAAACGGACTCCATGGGGTCTGATTTAGCAAAAAAAATTTCCCAAGAGTCTCCTATACCGTCTATCATAGACAAGACTGACTCATTTACTGATTTGCTGCAAAGCACAGAGAGAGACTTGGAAAGTTTTGTTTCTCAAACCGAATCAAAGGTATATTCTAAAGATTCTAAACATAGAAGTGACTCACTTGATGAAGCGTCACAATTTTCTGACCTAGAAGATCAAATGGGAACAAGTCCTGCGCAAAGGCCTTTAAAAACTGTTCTAGAATCTGTGGCTAAAACTGGCGAACAACATGCCGAAAAGAAAGAAAAATCAACTAGAGATCAAACTCTAGAATTCTTAAAATACGAGAGTGAATTTAGCTCACAAACGCATGCTCCTGCACTTGCACCTAGAGAGTCTGATAAGGTATCCTAACATTTCTTTATTAGAGCTTTCAATTTAGTTACTAAAATATACTCTTACTTATTACATTCAATATTCTAGGTATCACCAAAAGAGTCTCCAGTTATTAGCGCCAAAGCAAGGCAATTCATTGAAACTGTACCCGAAGATGATTCAGTACAAGAATGCTTCTTTTCTAAAAGGATTTACTCAGATTCCTTAGAAGATTCCGAGCACACTGATTCAAGACGCCACTCGGAAGCTGAATCTCTTAAATCAGACCAATCAGATATTAAAGCTAAGGTATCGTCATCAGATTTTGATGAACGAGCCGAGTACGAAGAAACAGCTGATTCTGGTAGTGGTTTTGGAGACGAAAAATTCGAAGAAAGCGTTGGATTCACTGCAATAAAGATAGACCCAAAAGTTTTAATTGAAAAGCAAGATTCGGATTCCGATAAAGAACCTGAAGTCATATTCAAAAAGATGACACCAAAACGCCATTCGAGAACAGAGTCTGTCTCCATTACGCAAATAAGTGATTTGAGTGACATTGAAATTCCTAAAACTAAACAAGAGTTTCAAATAATTGTTACTGAAGCTGAAGAAGTGGACAGATCAGATAAAGATGAGCCTTCAGACAAAATTTCTTCGGAAAGCAGCAGGGAGATCGAAGTATCCGACCGAAAATCTTCTGAAGGTAAATCGGATATGATTAGCTCTGAAGACGCTGTAACAGACAAAAAGACTTCTTCTGAGGAATCTGCTGCAAAGGAGGGTGAGCAACTATTAGAGCTAGGTAAAGAAAGAGATATAGTTGTTACAATTCATGAAACAGTGAAAGAGATTGAAAGAGTAGACGTAAAATCGCAGATAAAAGATGAAGTTGATATAAGTAAGTATAATTATATTAAAGCAGAAAGAAGTTTAGTATACTTCCCGTTGCATAACATTCACGCTTGTATGGTTTTAGTTGATACAGTGAAACGCCAGTCTGTTACTTCAGCAGGCTCAGGATCCATAGGAGAGCTACGCTTAGAAGAGAAACGCCTGTCAGACGCTCATAGTCTCACTGAGTCTAGAGATTATACTTTCGAAGAATCGGAGGATGATATAGGAACTCAAGGAACGCATGTAGATGTTTCACACAAAGTAGAAAGTAAACAAGAAAGTGATCCGAAAACTAAAGTGGCTTTGGGTAACTAGAATCGATTAAAAGATACTAATACAATTAATCGTAGTGCATTATAACATTCTGGTGTTATAATTTCATTATTTTGTGCAAGGTAAAACAACTGAACCATCGAAACTTGCCAAGTTAACACATGGAGATTCATTGGACGACGTGGAAGGTTTCCCTGAAGATCATGTCACTGATTATGTCCATAAACTACCTCATATTTCTGAAATTGGGTATGTTACATTTAATAGCTTTTATGTAATTGATATTGCATAGAAACATGGCTAATAAGATCATTAATTTATTTTGTTAAATATTTCCGACTAAAGTATACTATATTTATGTTTTAGCGCTGCGTCTGACAGGGATATCACTATAGATTTCCTAAGTAGAGAAAGAGATGAACAGCTGAAGCGTGAAACGGTAGTAGCTTCTAAAGATGTTACCGAGAAAGTTTTTACTACCGTCAAAGACCTAAAAAAGGAAACCAAGGAATCTAAGTTCGATGTTTCCAAAATCCGTACAGATACTTTAGGCAAATTCGAAATTAGTGATTTAGAAGAAGAAAAGGGTTCAAAACGATTCGTACCAAAAGATTTAGACTTAAAAGAAACTACAGAAATTACAAAAGAGCAAGTAAAACCTGTTATTGACGATATTCTTCAAAAAGGAACCATCGCTGCTGCAGCGCGAAGTCCAGTTTTAGATAAAGACGTTAAAACCATTACAAAAGATATAGTTGAAACTGAAAAGCGATCTTACGATGCTAAAGCGCCACATAAAGACGAGCGCAGACATTCCTGCATTAGTCCCGCTATTTCATTGGAGAGAATAGCAGAGTCTGATGTGGAAGACGATGAGGATGCTGACAAAGTCGCTCCTGTTTTAGTTCCTGAACCTCAAAAAGTGGAAAACAAAAGTACTACCATTAAAAAATCCGATTCTGCTATGAAGCAGATGGCTGACAATATAGAAATCATTATTAAGCAGGCATCTGAAGACGTTGACTTATCTTCTGAAGAAACTGTGCCTCCACAGCCCACAAAACCTCAAGATATTGCTGACCAAGTTTCTGTAGATTCCATAATAGAACAAGCAGTAACAACTGTAGAGGAATATTTAGATTCTTCCAAAGATATAAAGCATCAAGAGTTTGAAGATAAGAAAGAAATTAAAATTGAAGAAACGAAAATATTTGCTAAAGATAGACCGGGTTTAATGAAGTCCCTTTCTAGAGATAGCGGTGAAATAATGATTATGCCAAAAAAGAAACATGCCAGAACATTTTCAGTGCAAAGTTCCCCGGAAGAAGTTGAAGAACAGATTTATACTGACTCTGAGTCCGGTTAGTGTACATTTATCAATATTTTCTTGTAACAAAATTTAGTATAAAGTTATGCCGTTGATAATAACTGGATTGAGTAATAGAGCAAAATAAATTGGTTCAATTTGTTTTCATTACGTTTTTTATCTTTATTTATTTAGGAAAAAGTTCCTAAATAAATAAAAGTATACAATGTATATGTCAGTTCCATCGTACCCTAAACTAAAGCTTACTTGTCTGGGCGGCGCTGTTGGAGAGCCGATTCAACAAATACTAATAGTGATTTTGCCTGTTTCGTGGGGATTACTTAATATACAATTTATAGCACCTAAGGATGTTCGGTTGATCTGCAGGTCTCTCGTCAATGCCGCCCTCTATTGTTTGTACCGGACACATTCCAGTAACAAATGATATGCATCTTCTACTACTCCACATAACTCGCAATTAAGAGATTTTTTTTTTCATTAAGAAAGCAAAACTGTTTGGTGGAACGTGTCCGGTTCTCATCCTTAGTGCGATGACAGCTATTTTTCTACCGTAGTCGCATTCTGCAAACCAAGGTAAACGAAGGGGCTGACACTGAAGACACACGCGTTTCATATCTGAGTATTTGCATAATACATTTTACACGATAATATTGACATAATATTATAAAAAAGAACATCATTTATGTAGCATATCTAAAAAAACTGTTTTAGATATGGACAAGGCAAAAGTTTTGGAAATCATTGAGCCCAGCTCTGAATTCGATGGAAAAGTACCAGCATCCAGTTTTGATACGAGAAAAATACGAACGGATTCACTAGATGACGCTGATGACTTCCCTGAAAAAGAGGTAAAATTTGTTATTAGCGTTCAATTATAACAAAGTCCTTGTAACTCTTCTGGCTTGGCATAACACACAAGTGCAATAATATAAAAGTGATAATGACCATTTTAGAGTTTTAAAACTTGTGTTCTTTGCACCCAAAGAGTGTTAGAATACTTAGTACTACATTTTATACGTTTTTTTAGATTGAATTTGATGGTGAAGAAGATCCATTTAAATTTCAAGATAAGTCCCAAATGCCACAAGGTTCAGAACCTAGCACCAGCGCTTCCCAACCCGATATTGATGACGATAAATCCACAGATAAGTACCCTAAGAAAGCTCATTTCGTAGAAAGTATGCTTCGTTCTGATTTAGTCTCAAAATCTACGACGGAGTCATCAGTTACAACAGTAGTATCCACTCTTACTAAATCATCAGACGAGGAACAAAAATCCGTTCTTGAAGATGCTACTTCGGCAGACTTTTCTAAAATCAGTGGTGCTGATTTAGCCAAAGACCCTTCTAAAACATCTATCGAAACAAAAGACGATTCAAGATTTGAAGAACCGGTTGAAGACCGAGGTACTCCAGATTTATCAAAAAAATCCATTGATCTTACAAAAGATTACTCAAAATCTTCTATCGATAGCAAAGATACATCAAGAGATTTTGCAACTAACGAGCTGTCTAAGGATTCTACTGTAGATCTGACTAAGGATTACTCCAAAGCGTCGATTGAGAGTGTCAAGGAAACGTCAAAATCAATTGACGAGAAGACGTTTTCGGAAGATCATTCTTCCCTAGACGTATCAAAGACTTTAGCCTCTGATGCATCAGAAGGTATAACAATGAGCAAAGACTATGTAGCAACGAGTTCGTCGCTAGAAACCTCAATAAAGACTGAAAGTAAACTTGTAAGTGAACATGACGATAAGTCAATGGAAAAGGTTATTTCAGAGAAAGATATCATTGGTGAGATTGAAGAACAAATTGCACACTTAAAATCTGAATTCCAAAAAGAACATGAAAGTATGAAAGAGGAATCTAAGAAGGAAGCACAAGAAAAGGAAGAATCAAAAGAAAAAAAGACAGATGTGGACGACGCAGCTCCTGATATGAAAGAACTGAATAGAAGATGCTCTAATCTTCTAGAAGATATTTCGCAGGGTGCTCTAATTCGAATTGATTCTAGTCATGTTACGCATGGTAAGAAATTTTTGTAAGCCTACTTTTTCTTATGTATGTTATTTTACAAGAATTAACAATATTATGTATGTATACTTATGTAGCAAACTCCGCAGAACGTCTTCTCGTTTGTTCGTATTGTTCAACAAGGGAATAAATATTAATTACTGACATTATTTTTAGATCTAGCTGCGAAATTTTCAAAGACTCCACCCCCGTCGCCTGTTGATTTGATTGGGAAAGGCAAGATTAAGACGGAGGAATGTTCTGGCGATAGGCATACCGGGCTACAACTAAGAGGTTAGTATAGAAATAACCGCACAGGTGGTGAAATCGTTGCAGAAATACTACGCCGGGATCGGTATAGTCTGTCACAGGAGGCACAAAAGACAAATAATTTCAACTAATTTTATTTTATTTTTTATAACAACGCACACACCCAACATAGCCCCGCACTAGATAAACCCTGTATCGCGGGTGCCATGGACACACACATAGATAACCACAAATTACACCCAAACTCACGAGAGAAATAAATGTAGGCCATACAAATATTTCTCCCGGCCCGGGATTCGAACCTGGGACCTCTGCGTGGCAGTTCGGGATGGTAACCATTCGGCCACGGAGGCAGTTTCCCCTCATGACACTACCACATAATTGGTCTAAAACCAATCAATCCCGTTGCGGTTGTCCATTAACTTGTGCATTAAAATTATTAGTCAAAATGAATTTAAATTCCTTTTTAACTAAGATGGGGTACCGCGACTGAATTCATATTAAGTAAAATAATTATGCTCATTATAATGATATAACTATACACAACAGTCGTAATTTCGAAACTACAAAATACTAACTTGAGTTGTACAAGCGTAGCACTTGACACGATAGTCAAAGTCAAAGTCAAAGTCAAAGATGATTTATTCCATAGGTAAAATAAATTTACACTTGAAAACGTCACATTTAAGGTACTGCTCGTTCACTACGCTGACCTCCCTGAGAAGAACGAGCAAGAAACTCTAGGGATTGCTCTTTTCAAATAAACTTAAATGCTATGGAATACATTTTGAATCAAATTTGTGTGGATTCAGGAGCCATGTCGTCTTTCCATACATCTTTATCTAACACGTAGTCTTCAATTTTGTAATATGATTTTTCGATCAAAATATTTTTAATGTAGTTTTTAAACTTAGGAAATGATAAACTTAATATATGCTCCGGAATCTTATTGTAAAAACGTATACAGTTCCCCATAAAAGAGTTGTTTACCTTGGTTAAACGAAATCGTGGTACCATGAGTTTGGACTTAGCTCTAAGGTTAATATTATGGATATCTTCTTTCTTATTGAAATTATGTATATTTTTACGGGCATATAAAATATTTGAGTAAATGTACTGTGATGCCACAGTCATGATACCAGTCTCCTTAAACTTTTCTCTGAGAGATACCCGAGAGCCTAGACGGTACACAGAACGAATCGCTCGTTTTTGCAATACAAATATGGTTTGAATATCTGCCGCTTTACCCCACATGAGAATCCCGTAGGACATTATACTATGGAAGTAACTAAAATAAACTAGTCTAGCAGTACTAACATTGGTAAGCTCACGTATTCTGCGGACTGCGTATGCAGCGGAGCTTAATCTGCTGGCTAGGGACGATATATGTGGAAACCACTGAAGTTTACTATCTAAGGTCACTCCCAAGAAGACTGCTTTATTAACAAGGTCTAACTTTTCTCCGTTTATTTCTATGCTTGGACTAGTCGATTTTACGTTAGGTAATTCAAATTTAACACATTTTGTCTTCTTGGCATTAAGCAATAAATTGTTAGCATTAAACCAATAAACTACTTTAGAGAGGGTATCATTAATACGGTCATAGTTAATGTCATGTCTGTCTGTTTTAAAAATCAAGGATGTGTCATCAGCAAACAACACTATTTCGCAATGGTCCTTAACAAAGAATGGCAGATCATTAATATAAATCAGAAATAAGAAAGGTCCAAGTATTGAGCCCTGCGGAACACCCATTTTTACTGGAGAACCCAAAGAAGTCGCTCCATTTATGCCTACTTTCTGAATTCTACCGTTGAGATATGATGAGACAAGTTTCGACGCCTTGCCATTTACACCGTAATGTTCCAGCTTACTAATAAGAGTATTATGATCAACGCAATCAAATGCCTTTGAGAGGTCACAGAAAACACCAATAGCGTTCTGGGATCTTTCCCAAGCATCAAAGATGTGTTTTAGTAACGCTACCCCCGCATCGCTAGTCGATCTACCACTAGTAAACCCGTATTGTTCACTATGAAAAATATGATTCCTACCGAAATAGGACAGTAATTGAGATAGCATAACCTTTTCGAATATTTTACTTAAAGCTGGTAAAATTGAAATGGGCCTATAGTTGCTAGGATCAACTTTCCTACCGCTTTTGAATAAGGGAATAACCTTGCTGTATTTCATTAAATCGGGAAAAACACCTTCGTCAACGCACCTATTGAAAGCTACAGCTAACTGTGGGGAAATGAGATTAATAACTGAGTCTATAACTTTAGTTGATATGCCCCAGAGATCTTCAGTTTTTTTAACATGTATTGACTTAAAAGCTTTTATGATGTCTTGTGGATTAACATGACGAAAATTAAATAAACTGCCACAAACGTTAACATTTTCCTTTAGGAGATCAATAGCAAGTGAAGGGGAGGAATTTAATGATTTTGTAGTGTTCACAGCAATTTCCGAAAAGAACGATTCAAAAGCTTGGGCTACTTTATCTTTAGATTTTATAAGTTTGCTGTCTAATTCTAAAACTATATCTCTATCGTGTAGTTTAACCCTGCCTGACTCTTTATTTATTATGCTCCAAGTAGTTTTAGATTTATTTATCGATTGTCTAATTTTGTCGCTGTGAAACTTAACCTTAGCAGCTACACAAACTTTTTTAAATATTTTCGAATAAATTCTAACATATTCTATGAAATTGGAATTATTATTATAAGTTTTCATAGCATATAGCTCATACAAACGAGACCTACTCTTATGAATACCTACTGTTGCCCAGTCGTTGAATTTAGTCTCTCTATGGAAAGTTAATGTTTTCGATTTAAATATATTGTCAAATTCATTTTTAATTAAACCAAATATCGTGTTATATAAAGTATTTGGATCCTCCGGTATATGGGATAGGGAATTTAAACTGTTGCCGATATTATTTTGAAATCTAATTATTCGTTCTGTGGTAATCGGTCTGCAGAGAAATTGGTCTACCTTCTTGCTCATTTTACAATTAAAAGAAGCCAATTGGCCACTATGGTCGGATCTTAAGCAATTTATTATTGATTTAGACACTGCGTCTGTGTTACAAAAGATGTTATCAATACAAGTAGAAGAGGAGGCAGTAATGCGAGTTGGTTCTAAAAAAAGATTAATCAAGTTAAAACTTTGAAATAAATTAATGAGTCTTGCAGAAGTAGAACAGTTTTCCAACAGGTTTACATTGAAATCTCCACATATTACTACGTTTTTTTTGGTTGGAAAAATCCGCTTTAAACTGTCTTCCATAATTAATTCAAACTCGTTAAAATTAGCAGAGGGGGGCCTGTATACACATAAGACGACAAACTGATCCAATTCCACACATGAAATCTCAATAGATAGATATATAGATACGGCAGAACACACAGTGTATCTAGAAATCACAGTAGACCTACTATAGCCAGTAGAGCGCTAGATGTAGAAGCTAACAATCCATAAAATTTAGGTTCCGAATCTTCGTTCCTGGACGCAAATCGTCAATCTCCAAGAGCATCTTCAGCTGGAGACAGTATGTACAGCGAAACTGAAGCTCATCAAAGTGGTCAGTATTACTAATTAGAATGTAGTTTTATTTCATACTGTTTGTTTAATTTTTTTAGTTTGAAGGACTTGGTTGTGTAAATTACTTTTGGTCTAAGTAACGTTTTAACGTATTTTTTAAGTCGGTAAGCGCGTCGTATATAATGTATTGGGTTACATAATTATATACTTTCTCTTCAATTACGTAGGATTTTACGTTCGTTTACACAAATAAGTAACGATTTGAAGATGAAATAATTAATCATATTGCAAATAATCATATGTACTTTACACAGTCAAGCTTTATGAAAAAAATCCAATTCCAGTAAAGATTATTAAAGATAATAATGTAAGCTTATTTGCAAATTTACGTAGTCTAGTGGCAAAGTAGAGTCATAGCGAAACTTTACTCCTAGTCCTACTCGTAGTAGATCATACGAAAATCCTTGTTTTGCCACGATGTTTTTGTTGGACGCCAATTATCGCATGTTTATTTTTTCATCCAGATGTACACGTAGGTAGAAATCATTATATTCTTACCAAATAAGGTAAAGAACTCTGATAAATCTCCAGCAGCACAATAAATGTTGATGAACAATTGTAAAACGCACTAACACTTCCGAAAACTTCAAGGGGCCAAAAATTTCATAGAATATTCATAGATCTTTGACAAAGTTGTGAATTGTTAGCCACCCGTCTCACTACGTCCGTAACGCAAATATACGTCAGCACAGTAATTTTACTTTCTTTCTTGCGGAGCCCTTACGTTGCAATAGGTAAGTGGACCCACAAGCAAAAAGATCATCGTTTATTTTATTATTATCGCTTTTTTATTCTTCTACAAAACATTGATTTCCTTCAATTTGATTCGCAGTTTTTCATTCACCTTTGAGTAATGTTTCGCTTTGATTCAAAGTCTTCTATCGTTTGATTTACCATTTCACGAGCTTGCGTTGTTATATCATCTCTCATCCACCTGACGACAAGCATTTATGCTTTCTTTAGGTGCTTCGATTGCCTATTTTCCCACAAATTGTATATATTAGGTGCACCTGTAAACAAAGAATCTTTTCATGAAATCTAAAATATTGGGACTAGCATAATAACTACTTTACAAAGACTGCTTGAGTCTCACGAGTCAACAATTGATCCCAACACATTATACATACTAATAACCTTAAATCTTAAAAGCGTCGACTTATTTATTTATACAGAATTTTTTTCTTTACAGAGGTTCTGACGGGGGCGTCCAAGGTACTTAGTACAGCTGCCAGACCAAAATCTCCGACCAAACACTTACCCGACAACATGTCTTTCATTAACGTTGACCAACCGACTATAACTACTGGAGCAAGAGAACTTGTAGACAGAACCATCGAAAAAAGCATAGATGTGATTGATCAGATTAAAAAAGAGCAATTAGCTGTTCAAATGGAAGAAATGCGAAAAAGTAGTTCTTCAGATACTTTTTATTCCGAATCTCGTGTGGAAACATCAACTTCGTCGTCTTCTGTTCATAAAATCGAAGGTGGTGAGCTTAAATTTCAATCTATTGATCCCCGATCTATGATGTCCGATATGGTTGCCAAATTTGGAACCACAGATGAATTTAGCACAATTTTAACCCATAAAGAAACTGAAACTAAAAAGATTTCAGGACAAGAATTCTTCATTGAAACTAAACAGGTTTCCTCGTCCGATGATGATTCACTTATAATAAAAACTGAAACGACCCATGAATTGCGTGGACAAGAACATGAGGTAAGAGAAAAGACTGTGGTAAAAAAAGATGGAGATCAAACCGAAACTTCGCAAAAAAAAGTGGAAAAAGCTCACGAGGCTGCTGCTAAGAGGTCTGATATAGAAACGAAGACTGTGTTACGAAGCACAGATGACACGGATATTATCAAAGTAGAACGGGAATTTTCTGAACAAGGTTTATATACGGGTCGTCAAACTAAGTCTGAAGAGAAAATGACAGCCATTAAAGATGAAACTATAAAAAAGAAACATGAAATTAAGATTTCGGAACGAGATATGTCTCATGAGCAGTGGGGTAAGGAATACTTCACACAACCCGGAGAATTAGAAGATATCAAGGAAGATGAAGATAAATCTAAGACGGCATTTGTGGAATCTGCTCTTAAAATAGTAGAAAAGGATGAAGTGGTGTCTACTGTAGAGCTATCTGAAAAGGGAAAAGTTGTTAGTTCTAAAGTGGAACATCACAAGGAAGAATCAATAATTGAAAGCAAAGAACATGATGATCTAAGTTCAGAAGCATCCTATGCTCCAAGTTTCAAGAGTGAAACTGCAGATCGTCGAGGATCTTCTGAAACCAGTCCTAAAAGTAAATCGAAGTCTTTCAAAAAGGATAACGAGGTGTATGAAGTAGATTTTATCAAAGAAATAAAAATCTCAACGTCGCCTGTTAAGAGCACCTTTAGCCGAACTGGTAGTCAAGAAACTCATTCAGAGTCTGAAGCAGCACCAGATTTGCCTCAGGATGCAGATACTCCAAAAAAAGATAAATCCACAAAATCACCGATTAAACTCCCACAACAACAAATTCAAGATCAAGTATGGGAAGTGTCCTTACAAAAAGCTGATTCATTCGAAATGGCTGACGACATTCCGAAATTTTCGAATATAAAAGCAAGCATCGAGACAAGCAGTGTAGCAAAGAGTTCCGATAGTGATAGCGATAAGAACTTAGAACTTAAAACTGTTGTTGAGACTAAAGCGGAAATAACAACCAAAACCAAAACTGATATGTCACCCAGCATTTTAGAAATTTCCGATGATTTAAGTACAACATCCAAAGACATCATGATCAAATCTGGGGAGAGCATCGACACAGAGTGTATGGTTAAGTCGTTAGAATCTCATGAAGGAGAAATATTGCAAAAATCTATTGATTCAACTATGAGCGCTGAAACTTTACACCCATCTGAATTTTCAACTGAAGCTGATTCAGCTTTTCTTACCGGAACAGATCAAAAAAGGGAAGAAGTGAAACTAGTGAAGGAAAAGAGCCTTGAAGACATTTGCAGCAGCGGTTACGATACCGATCTTTCCTCTGCCGAGTTTCATGCAACGAAACTTGAGTCAGAACGGGTGGATTTTGATTCATTGATGTCTGCTCAACCACTGACTGACTTATCAGTTTTGGAAAAAACTATAGATGAAGTCAAGCAGTCTCTTGAAGCCGCACAAGTGGAAATTATAAGTGAGAAAAGCGATGGGAGTAGTAAGTACAAACAGTCGCCTTCAGAATTTCAATTTAAACTTCTAATTAGCCCAGACCGACCTGAAGTTATTACTGAAGAACCTCTTCATACGGAGGAACATGTTGTTAAAACTGTTTCACAAAAGAAAAAAGAAGATAAAATTAACGATAGCCAAAAGTCAGAAAGTGTTTCGCAAAAAGTAAGCTCTCAAGATGAAGCTACAATTTCTGATGAAGACAAAGATACAGTGCAAATAATGAAAGAGTCCAGTCCACCTTATGATGGTGGTGATATTTCTATCAGATCAGACAGTGGTCCTCACTCGATCTTGGAAACTGAAAGTGAAATCATTCTTTCGGACCGAGATGGATCATCCAAAGGCAGCCCTGAAGTCAAATTGAGAGTGCATAACCATTTAAAAACCAAATTAGGTGTTGGGGAGAGACGGTCAGCTTCTGAAGTGGAAGGCTGGTCAAGTTCTGGCTCAAGCCATTATCACAGTTTCGAACACTCTGAAGGCAGACCATTATCTTCAGATATTGAAGTTATGATGACTGCCCAGAGCGGAACTGAATTTGAAACCGCCATGACAAGTCATGACGTTTCATCTCAATCATTGAGAACTTCAAAGGACTATTATACTGCAGCCAGCTCACTTACTTCAAGAGATAGTATGAAAAGCCTTGATTCTGATGGGTCGAGTCATGTCGCTAGTATCGATATATCAGACGCCTCTGAAACTCTTGTTCCTTCGGCTAACGAATTGAAAGAGGAGTTGATGGAAAGTAGTACGTATATTGAGCAGTTCCTTCACGAAGGTGAAAAAGCTCCTGTAACAAAATCGAAAGAAGTTAGTGACGAAGAGTCTGTTGATGACGAAGAACAAAAAGGTGACATCCTTGAGCCAATAGGCAAAATGAAACGATCGCACGAAATGCGGTTTCAGCCCAAAGAAATGATTCCCGAACATTTCCCAATCGAAGTTGCTCCGCAAAGTGTTGAAGTTGAAGAAGACAAAGAAGGATCCGACACTACCATATCAAGCCAGTTAAGGACTGATGAAATTCTATCATCGTCCATTTCGAAACTTGACATATCCTCGTCAATATCTCAACCTGGCTTAGACAAAGATGAAATACAAGATCAAGTAACAAAAACATCATTTCATGAACAGCAAGCTATACCATTCGCCGTCACTAAAGTGGAAAAACCCAAACGAGAGTTCGTTGACGTTGAAACTGAGATTATTCCCGTTGGTTCAAGTAAGTATGAAGAAATTATAAAGCAAGGTAGTATTACTACTGAAAGTAAAAAGATCCCTAAAAGTGAAGCAATGATAATCACTAAAACAACTGTTCAGCTTGAAGAAAGTGCACCTAGTGAAGAACCATGTGAAGCAAAAGAAGAATGTAGAAAGACGGTTATCAAAGAAGTGACGATCGTGCCAACTAAAGAGTTTCCACCCAGCCCAAAAGAATTTATATCCTCAAGACTTGACATGTCCTCATCTATGTCTGAACCTGATTTAGACAAAAGTGAAATAAGAGAACAAGTAACAAAAGTATCTATTCACGAACATCATGCAATACCATTTGCGGTTACTAAAGTGGAAAAACCGAAGCGGGAGTTCGTTGACGTCGAAAGTGAGATAATTCCATTTGGCTCAAGTGAGTACGAGGAAATTGTAAAGCATGGTAGTATCACCACTGAAATTAAGAAGACTCCTAAAAGCGAAACAATGAAAATCACTAAAACAACGGTTCATCTTGAAGAAAGCGTACCCAGTGAAGAACCATGTGAAGTAAAAGAAGAATGTATAAAAATGGTTGTAAAAGAAGTGACAGTCGTGCCATTCCCAATAACAGAAATTCAACCCAGCAAAAGAGAGTTTGTTAACGTTGAAGAAGAAATTATACCCATTGGATCAAAGCAATATGAAGAAATCTTGAAATCTAAAAGCGATTCTTCTGTTCCAAAGACGAAAACTGAAAAAGCCATTGTTAAAACTCCTGACTCTGAGCTAGATAGTAAACCTAGTTCCACGTCAAGTTTAAAAACTCAAGAACATTTGTCAACGTCACAAACACCCGTGTCTGCTCCTAGCCAGAGTTCAATTTCGACTGATAATGGCAAGGAATATGTTTTGGATGATATGTACGATATTTCTGAAACACCTGAGCTAAGATCAGAAAAGGCAGAAAGCAGCAAGTCCGAACTAGTAGTAACGACAGAAGAAAGTACTGTACGTTACGAAAAGGAGCAAGATTCACCTACAAGCGATGAATTTGAAATGGTCGATAAACCAAGCGAAATGGATGACTTTGTTGTAATTGAAGAAGTTGCTAAAGAAGCTCAAGAAACAGATACTGAAGGCAAAAGTTTGCACATTAGGGCACAAAAATACGTTAAACGACATGACACGGAAGTAGAAGAATATCTTTCTAAAGCATCGAAAAAACAAGAAAGCACAAGCAGTGCATCTGGGTCTTTATCTGACGAAGAGTTACTTCAGTATGAATTGGAACAGAAAAGGTTGCAGAGTCAAGAATTAGCTGAGATAGAAGCTGGAAAACGTTGGATACAAATGCAATTCGAAGGTGATCCAAGGTATGACTACGAAAGAGTTCCATTAGAAGATATAAAAGAAGAGGAAATGACTGATTTTGATGCAAGCAGGATAGGCAGCTTAAGTTCTCAAAAGGAATCAATTGGAAGCTACGGTAGCTTCAGGAATTCTTACGGAAGTCTCTCCGAATCTGAAATGGCTTCTCGCATCAGATTTAGAGTTCGAGGTGAAAACGATGATATTTCAATTAGTTCATTACAAGAATTTGAAAATCTTGAAAAAGCCTTGATGGAACAATATCAACAACACTCTTCATCGTCTCAAGATTCACTAAATGGTTCTTTACCCAAGCGTTACGTACTGAGTAAAAGTTCAGGCGATGACGTTTCTGTATCAAGTCTGAAAGAATTTGAAGGGCTAGAATCGGCTTGCTTTGAAGCCCTGAAAGCCGAAATATTAGCTAAGCAGAAAGAAGCTCTCTTACTAGCAGATCCAAAGGTTGTCAGTAGTAGTTTTCTGGAACAAGAGAAACGTAGCAGCAGTTCTGATGGCAGTCCACCACAGAAAGGAGGCAGTCCAAGCCAGAAAAGTGGAAGCCCATCTCAAAAAGGGAGTCCTTCGCAACGAGTTGGAAGCTACGGCAGTCCATCGCAGAAATTGCTGGCTGAATCGGTTACTATAAGAAAACTAATCGATCAAACAATGGCCTTGGAACAAAGGATGCAAGAACAAATCACACCAAAAGTGGTTACTGTAAAGAAATTTGATGACAGGGGCGCTTATTTTGTGCCAGAACCTGATACTTCTGTATGTAAGCCTGGTGAAGTGACGGAAGAGTGTAAAAAAGCATCATCATTTATTTGCGCTGCAGCACCAAGCGATGGCTCAGCTGAATCTATACCAGGAGATTGTGAAGAGATGATGAAATTATTAGAAAAAGAAGAGAAATCCCAACAAGCTTCTGTTTCAAGAACTGTTGTTGATAGTGGTGTTATAGAAGTTGTGAGAACAACAACGATGATCCAACAAAAGTTCGTCGATGGTAAGAAAGTTTCGGAGACTGTAACGAGCACAGATGGGGAGGGTGGTGTTGATATACCAGCAAGACCGAAACAATATGAAGAAGGTCCAATGTCTTTCGGATCAGAAATGTCTTCTTCAGTGGCATCTCAACCTTCTGAGCTGGACAGTTTGATGACAGTTATTGAAAGACATTCCTCTGCAGGGGAAATAGTAACTGTGACAAAGCAAACAATAATAACAACAGAGAAACCTGAAGATTTGGATTTTTCAAGAGAAGCGAGTGTCGTGCGTGAGCTGTCTCCTTCTTCAGGAAAGTCGATAGCTCACAGCGTTATATCCTTCTCTGGGAAACACTTTACAGATCCAGCAAGCGGTTCTTGGAGCGGACAGGATGAGGAGCTCAGCTCATCAGGGAGTTTTAGCAAGTAAGTACATAAACATACGTACCTATATACCTAATGTATGGTATGGAATAGTGCAACAGGATGATATCCGCAACTCGCCGCCGTAGCATCCATTTTGCGCCAATATGTTATGTATGTAGTTATCTTTTTGTAAACGAACCAAAACTTAACAACATAAACATTTTCACAAATCTGTGTTTTCTCTCCCGAGGCTTATTTTTTTTTAATCTGAAGCTACACAAAATTTATTAATTTTGAACCCAGAAATAAATGTTATCCGACCTATCTAACCACTGAATCCAACTAAGTTGAAAACGATTTAGCATGTCGATTTCCAATTATGCCTTGTCTTCAGGGGTGCCCGCGCAGACTTGATGCTTGGCAGCACTGACAGCTTGGAAGCCACCAGTTCGAATGCCACTCGTGCCACCTTTAATTACGAAGTCGATACGCCTATGACCGGGAGTCTTACTTCTGGAGGTAAGCCTCACACTTCATTTGCACTTTTTTTTAATATTGTTTAAACATACAGAAAGAATCTATTTGTATAGTACTTAAAGTTGAAAATGAAAAAAATTAAACTTAAAAGATTTAAATTCAGAAAATTTTATCAATAGAATTCTGGCTTCGTGTCCTCTATGGATCGTAACTTACATACATATTATATCATCTGCCTGTCTCCCACAGTGGTAGAGAGAGCACGGACCTTCACTCCCATGAGTCGCTTCATACATGCCCTTTTATTCTCGTATTCTTGATACTTTTAAGAGTCGACTCTACCTCAGCTCGAAATCTAATTTTTCCCGTACTAATACGGTAAATTTTGCTTAGGTCCGAGAGGCAGGGACACTGACTTCTTTTCAGAATTTATTTTCCTATACACGAAATTAAAGCGTTTTGAAAAATGTACATCGTATATTATACGTGTTCTATGTAGTTCAGTTGATATAAAATCATTGGTATATGGAAAGTATCTATTGAATACAGCGGTTTTCTTGTAAAATTTCGAGGTAAGTTTGTGTTTTTTTTTCTATCGTGCAAATTTTTAGGAATCGTGTTTTTACACCGTATAGCAATCAGTGTATATCCTCAATTGTACTATATTTCTTTTCCAAAGTAATTGATTCAACGCTTTCACTGTTGTGCGGAATCAACCAATGCCATTTGAAGTTGTATTGACTCTTACCCCGTCCTTTTTGAGCATTTCCCCAATCTGATTGATATATGTAGGCCGAGGTCTATTCTTATCACGCCTCCATCCACATTCACTCTATTAAATTTATGCCGTTAAACTACCAACATTCATTCTTTCTATATGACTAAACCATCGAACCATCCCCCTTTGTCCTGGTACATAGAATCTTTCATGCCACAACGCACTCTTACTACACAGATATAAAGGCAATAGATTATTTAGTCGTCCACGTGGGTTGCTCTATTTGCAAACAGTATTTTTAAGCAGTTTTCACGGGAGCATGTGTTAGGTTTTTCAAGAATGTTTTAAAATATTTACGTCCTGTTTTAAAATTCAATTTTGGTGATTTCACAATTTGAATATCAATTAAATATTTTGAAACAGTCGTTAAAACTTAAAACATGCTCCCTGAAAAATTTAACGTCCTTTTTTACAATCTTCGAAGATATGTAGAAAGCGAACACTGAATTTCCTTAAAATTAGGTATGATCACAATGTATGTTTGTTAACGTATGATTTGCCAAATCATTTTTGTTTATTATAATTATTCTGAATCATTCACATCTTTCCCCATTTCTTAATATTCCGCTTAATACGCTGCCTTAACAATATTCCACCATTTATAATTCACTATAAAGTATTCAAAACTTCCAGCTTTGCCAATCCCTAGCTTATTAAAACATAACTAACAGTGTAAAATTAAGAGCAGTTTTAATAATAAAAATATCACACTGTTAATATAGGGTCTTTCAACAAGAACTTTGTTTTCTAAAACAAAATAAAACAA